TTTTACTTCATCCATCCACTCGAGGACATTTCTTTGCTCTTCTGGGAAGCTCTTGATTTTGGGTCACTTTGGTATAAATTATCAGGCCCAGATGGGAACGTTCCTTCAAGAATTTCGCATACTCTCGCGCCCTCTGCAAACAATCGGCGGAAAAGTTTCGATTCCGAAATTGAGAAATACTGCGGGGAAAACTTTGAAAGTGTCTGAGAAAAATTGAGTTTGGCTCGATTAAAAGTCATCAAGTAATCAATGATTAAAACAGTAACCGAAAGCTCTTAGAGTTTGTTAAGGGGTTATATCCAGTTGCGATTTTGAAAAAATCGAAAATTTTTTTTTCCCTATTTTGAATGTATATATATCTAAGAAGATTATCTGAAAATTTCAAAGTATTCCGGTAAATAGTATTGGAGTAATCAGTGTATTTGTAAAGACGTCTCCCATGTAGTTCAACTAGTAGCCAAAACTTTAAATGCGTTTTTCTCGAAACTATGTCTTCAAAGTCGGTGAGGAAAATTTCTCGGAGACGGCTGGACCGATTGACTTGAAACTTTCACATTCTCTTCTTAGATATTTTTTTCAGGTAATGAGACTTGGAATTTTGGCTCCGACAAAAATTTCGATTTTTTTAGCCACTTCAAAGTTGAAATTTTTGTGCCAAAAACAAAAGTTTATGTTTGGGAAGCCGCCATTTTGTCAAAAATCAAAATTTTGAAAATCCCAAGTCTCATTACCAGCATTTGTCTATTCTTTACGTAATCCTTCTGGTTTTTTGTATTTCTGATCATTTGGACCGGAGATATTTTCCTCACCGCAAAACCCTTTTTTGAAGTGGACCCTCGGGAGATCCTCTACAGGACCGACGGAGTCCAAAAAATTTTTTTTTGAAAAATGTATTCTAAAACTAGAAAAAATTACCTATCTTTTCATATACAACACGTATACATACAATAAATAGCCTCTTCAAAAATAATTTTCAAAAAAGCTCATTTTTTTGGCCTCGCAACTGGATATAACCCCTTAATTAATTATTATTATTTAAACCTGATATGCTAAGCATTTTATAAAATAAAGCATTCCAATTTGTATATAGTCATGGTATATATTTGATAAATTAAACTTGTAGAAATGTTACCAGTGGAAATGGGAAAAAAGATGACAAACCTTTGGTATTGTGTATGCACACTCCCAAATGTTGAAGTACTGGGAAACGGTTGGAAGTCAAAACGAAAAAACGGAGAAAGGTTGTTTATTTGCCTCTAGAATTGATTGACAAACCGTGAAATTATTTAGGGAAATGTATATTTGAAGAGTTGCAGTGGAAAATGTCAACGAACTGATGGCTTTTGCTTTTCCACTTTTTATTTCATTACAGGTGTTTACTTGTTTGGCTTTAAAGTTGTATTGCGGATGTCCGCAATCAGAAAGTTATTATGTTGTGTTCTAGATATTTTCCGGACCAAAAATATCATATAAATGAGAGACCTTTGGGTTACTTTTGGTATTTTATTAATTGTTTTTTTTTTCGTTTCCCACAACAATGAGCGAGAAATTTCAATTAAATTGCAAAAAATGTGGGCTGCATCTGCATTGACCTTAGCGAGGACCTTAGTTGCCCACAAGACTGGCAACCACCTCGTTTTGGCCCCGGATGTGGCTGCTACTTAACCTCCACAGAGCGCCATCTCGTCCGTCGTTTCATATGACTGCCCTTGCTCTAGGAGCCCTCAATTGGCTCACATCTCAGGCCGGATTCCCCCACTTTCTTCAGCCCCTTTTGGCCCCCTTCTGAGGCCCTTTTTAGCCCCCTTTCACTGCTCTCACTGGCCACAGGCTGTGGCTCATTTGGCGTTTTGTAGCATACCTATTTGGGCAGGCCATAAATCCATACACATGTGCCTACAACTGAGGCTACAAATGTATTATTTATGTTTGGGAAAACAATTTTAGACGTCAGTTGAAAGATCTTCCTTCGGCAAAACAATGAATTAATTCTGGTTTTTATCCAAAGGGTAACCTTTTAAAACGGAACAATAATTTTCTTAATATTTACGTTTTTCCCCAGCAAATATTTAATAAACGTTAAAAAACTTTGACAAGCGACAAAAAAAAAATTCCAGTAAAATTTGCAATTGGTGTAATTGAAAATATTTATGCGCCAAAGCCACTAATTTTTCAACCGCAACTGTATGCTAAAAACAAAAAGACAGACAGCTTGAATGAAGGAATGAATTTCCGAATGAAATTGGCCAGTTGTTCCTTCGGCCCAATATACTTTGTGGCCCATGTCCTGGTGCCTTCAACTCCTCGTTCATTTAATATATGGCATGAACGACTGAATAAACCATAAGACAGAGAATAATATGTTGTGCTAGCCTCCATTTAAATCTGCTCCTCCGCCTGGGCAAATTTGCATTTGGTTTGCTAATTAAAAAGGCTGAAGCGATTTAGGACCCGGAGATTCTGGGCCATGGAGGCGGGACAGCGGTGCATCTGAGCTAAGGTATGCTCATGTTTTCCGAAACGTTGTCCTTGTTTCCGTACAATCATCTGAGGACACTAAACGCTTTTGCGAAACCCCCCAGCCCATTCCCTTATGCAGAGAAAGAATAAATGTAATGGTTATAAAGAATATATTTGAGAAACCCAAATGAAATAATTCAAATCTGAACTGTGAATTGAGAATTCTTTTTAGCATGAACCCCATCTGAATATGTTTTACCGGGATTCGATTTTGTGGCATGGCTCATGCTATATGGGAATTTTTTTCGAGTGTATCCACCTACACACCCCCAAGAGCCATTCACTGTGTCCGCAACTTTTTAATAAGCCTGACGCGAGAGTCTGGGCCAGGTTCCCACTTGACATGGTTGAGCTGGGGACTTGACGAAAGAGGCTAACTTTTTCTCGTTGTTTTACAGCCCCAGAATGTTTGTGTGTGAAAAAAAAAACAGGAGGGGAAGGAAGTGAAGGTGGGCGGAGGGGGAGGTGGAAGGGTGAGGGGGGATTGCTTCCGCCGACGCCTCGCAAATTGCCGAAGGGGGGTTTTGTGAGCTAAACTTTTCCCACTGCAAATTGAAAGCGTATTCGAGCTGCAGTGGAAAATTAGAGGGCGTTGTGGTTATTCGTTATTCGTTATTCGTTATTATAGCCCGGCAGCGGTTAGATCAAACGCGTTAATAAAGCGGATTAGGTTAGGAAATCCCCTCATTACGAAAAGCAGCGAACAGGAGCGGGAGATACCATCCTGTGGAATATGTTGGCTTATTAATTCGACCGCGTTTAGCGCAACTTGTTACGGTTAAGGCAAAAAAGGTAAATAATAACGAAAATGTTTACCTTCCTGGAACACATTTTATTATTATTTCAAGTGAATGACGACGATCCCTTTGGCAGTGCAATTTTTAAAGTGTGATTGCGCTTGTGTCGCGAACGATTTGTGGCGTTTTAATTAATCGTTGCTTGCGACGACCGTTGACCTCTTTGCGGAAAGCGGAATATTGGGCTTGGCCTTCTGGTCTAGACCGCACCGTCTACCGTCTACGCCCATTAATGCCAACATGGCATAATGGCCCAGCCCAGAAACGAAGCCAACTTGTTGAGTCAACCGATGCGAAATTAATCCGGCAACTTTTTCTAGTGCACTCGCCGTACCTTCGTCTCATTATTTTATAGCGGCATATTAAATCACTCGGTTTATGCTTTAATACAACCTCCATTAAATAGTTCTTAATATTTCATTTGATTACCTTGTTAATTCACCACTGGTTAGGCATTCAAGTGATACTCACTTAGTCTTTCGACGTACTCAATATTCTCTTCCAGAAATAGAATCTTCCGGCTAACTTAATTCCACTTATTGTTTTATTAGTTTCTCCCTGATCCTTGGGCAACCTTAACTTAAGCTTCTTAGATAATTTAAAGGCAGTTATTTCTTAAAACTCTGCACCTAATTTACATGCCTGATGGAGGGATTTTTTTGTAACGCAAAAGTGCCGGTTTAGTCCATTTGTCCGAAAAAACCGCCATTAAAATAACTTTTTGCGCCCTGTTTTTTTTTTTTTTTGGGTACAACTCGAGATGGAGGTATATACATTTCTTGCGGGTCGTCGTCATATATATAATGTGTATTATATACACGCATTGGAGTGACACCTCCGACGTCAACAACTTCAGCATTTCAGCATCAGTTTTGCGAGTCGCGGCGGTCTGATAACTTTTCAAATTTAGCCGCTCGGAAAAAGTGTGTGAAGAGGCTCGAGGAGGAAAAGCAAAAGCCCAGGATGAGGGAGAAGTTGAATGGGAGCCAGAAAATAGGGATATGGCGAGCGAGGGGTGCCAAAAAGTATGCTAAGTATTTGGTGGCCCCCCTTCCCCTTTTCCCCATCGCGATTTTCCATTTCGCATTTCCCACCCACTCACTTACCCTTGAGTTTCGCTTGAAAGAAGTTCGCTCGCTTTCAATTAAAGTTCAACAACTGGGAGAACTTGGGTATTGGTCTTAATCTTAATCACAGCTACCCCATAAAAGGTATGGATGCGATTGTTGACTGAATGTTTGCACAAAAGTAAACTGGATTTTCGTGAACTAAAACGGCTTTTATTCGTTTTGTGGGTTACATTTGTGGGTCCGCAAGCTGTGGGGATTAGCATTTCGTGTTGCGCCGCCATATTTCCATTTAAATGAGAAAAATCGTAAGCTGGAAACTTAAAAAAGACTGGGAGTTTATGTATATTATTAAATTTATATCCAAATACAAATCCCAACAGAATCAACAAACACCTAAGCATCTGGTTGAATTCTTTAATTTAGCAACCTGCATTAAATTCAATACATTGTTTCAACATAGGTTAGCTAACTAAATATTGTATTTTTATTTGTATTTGATTTGTTTATTTATTTTATTTATTTATTTAATTTATTTATTTTATTTATTTATTTTATTTATTTATTTTATTTATTTATATTATTTATTTATTTTATTTATTTATTTCGATTATAGTTTTCTGTTCCCTAGCGCGGACTCTATCGCTTTCGCTGTCCCACTCTAACCTAGTTGCCTGTTCTCTTCTTGCATGTTGCGACGGACCAAAGAAAAAAAAAACAAAAGAAAAGAAAAGAAAAGAAAAGTGTTTTCAGTGAAGAAAGAATACAAGAGAAGGTGAAAGAAAGACAGGAGAAGAAAGAGAAGGAGAGTAGGCGGAGAAGGCGGAGAAGAAGAGTGGCACAGCCATGGATACCAAATTGGAGGCTCGTGGCCAGTTTCCGGCCTCGTTTCCGGACACGTTCAAGAACTTCTTTGCGATGATGAACGAAGACGAGGATCACGTGGGCCTGTTTGCCAATCTCCTGGAGGACAAGGTATCCCGCACACCCCCTAAACCCCCTAAAACCCACCCGCTCGGATTCCTTTCCGCCTGCGCGCATGTATCCATTTCACATAAACCATTAACCCCCATTCCCTTCGCCGTCTTTCCCATGGGGGCTCTTCCAGGTGATCCCGCGGCAGAGTAGCCCCGTACAGCCACAACGCCAGCGGTACGGAGGCAGTATGCGAAGTCACAGTGGCGGAGATCGCAGGGATCGCACAGAACGGCAATATCATCAGCAACAACAACAACAGCACCAGCAGCAAATACAACAACAACAGAACAACAGAACGCAACCGGTATCGCATAATTCCCAACAGGTGAGAGATTGTATGTAGCACGACTCATATCTAAAATTTGGTGGCCCTAATCCCCAATTTTCCTTGCTGTTGCACAGTGTTATTGGCAAATGATTTTGATGTATCATAAGATTAGTATAAGCTTATTTTGGTGTCATCATCATGTGAAGTTGATATTACGTGTTACGTGTACAGAAATGACAAAAAAAATATTGATTTTCCAACACTGAATTGGGAAGCTTTCTAATTGCTTATTCCACACTTTTTGTCGTGTACTTTCAGCAGCGCGCCTTTCAGCCGCGAAGTCGCAGTGGCAGTGGCAGTAGTGTCGATCTTTACGCCAATAGGAGCGTAAGCTTCGGCAACACCTCAAGCCGTTCGAATTCGCTGCGAAGGAACCGCTCGCGAGGATCGCTAAGCAGCAGCGGATTGAACGCCTTGGGCCTTGGGCCCGTGGCCCTTGCTCCCAACGTCAGTTCGAGCAGCAGCGGCAGTGTCTTGGACTTGACTCGTCCAAGTGTCAACGCAGCCAACGTAGCCAGTGGAAATAGCAGTGGCCCATCGCCCTCAAAACCGAACCTCAAGTCGGCTTTGAAAGCAACCAATCCCTCGGTCGAGCGCAGCTGTTCCCTTTTCTTGGACGACGACGGTGAACTGCTGTGCAATCACATCAAGTATTGTTGTCTGCATCACGACCACTCGATCGACGGCCTCCAGCAACTTCAGCAGCAGCTCAAAAGCCAGCAACTGAGTGCCGGGCAGAAGCACATGACTTTGACCTGTTGCGAGTGCGTTTGCGGCAGCGGCAAAACTCCCCGTTCCGGTCCCGATGGAGAGGACAATTGTGGCGCCAACAACTTGAAGGGATACACCAGCGGTCACCAGGCGATTCCCTCACAGAAACCAAAGAAGATCGACAAGCCAAGCACCATCACATCCACCGAGATGGCAGCTTCGAAAAACCGGGATCTGCAGGAGCGACAGGAGCGGCAGGAGAAACGTGGATCGGTTATCCTCGAAAGGGCATTCGATTTCGGTGAGTTTCTAAAGGAAATATTAGTTGGTAACATTAGAGGATTTAGGACACTATTTTAATAAAGCCTTGTGGAACACCTTAATCTTCATTTAGAGTTGAAAAGCTGCTCGAAAAGAGTGGACCAACTTTTTCGCAAAACTCCCCGTATTAAATAACTTGAACGTGGCACTGCAGTAAGGGCAATATTTTAAAACAAAAACGCCTCAGAGTGCCACAATTTTCCCCTGATTAAGTATCCGCAGTGCTTCAGTGCTTCTTTTCGCTTGACAGTGTTGTAAAGAGCAATTAAAAGCGCACGCAATGCCAACTTTTTCTCAGCGGCCGTAGGAAATCTCGGCCATCTGGCTGGCTTATCGCAACGGAACGGAACTGCACTCGCTGCAGGGGCTGGCGCTTGATTAGGGAATTAGTCACCAGTTAGTGGGCAGTAAAGGGGCTTCGAAGTACGAAGTGCTGAACCTGCCACGAAGTGTGTCGGAAGTGCGTGCCACAGGCGGTGGCCCCGATTGCGGAACGGGCTGCCTTCTGCCTGCTTTCTGCTGCCTGCTTGCATGCTGCACGGCCATCGCCTGGCAGGTTAATTAAGACTCCGTTCCGCCCATGTTTTTCCGAGCACAACGTGACACTTTACGGTGACAATGACATGGGGCACACTCCGTTCTCCGGACTCCAGTCTCCTTGCTTCAGACTCCGGCTAACGAGGCCGCAAGTCACCTGCCGGATGGCAGGCAGCTCCCTTTGCTTTGTCATCGTTGTGGCTGCCACATTGATGCAATTGCGACTCTTTTGTGGCACCTGACAACAAGCAAACAGGGGACACGTCTCCTCGATCCAAGTCCTCCTCGTTCTGTTCGAAGCACCTATACACTATAAGAAACACAACTTTAACTCAATTGGGAGATTGGGACACCCGCTTTCGATACTCGACCTTAAAGAGTATACATTTTAAGCCAGAAATTCTATTTAAGAAGCTCAGACGATGGCTTTTTCTTCCTGTTCTAAAGATAATTTGCTTAAAAGTCTAAAAGCCAAATACACTTACATTTTTTTAATCCTCTGTCAGCAAGCGACATGAGAATTAGGGAAAATTGGGACGAGGAGCCCAGGACCCAAAACTTTCGCTGCGGCTAAATGCGCTTTAAATTCGCTTTAAATAATAAAACAGATAAGTCAAGGCCGCTCCAAAGAGCCAACAAACAACAAACGAGCGAGCCGGAAGGGAGCCGAAAAACGAAAATTAAACATCAACTTAAAAAGTGGCAAATGAAGAGTATAAAAGCAAAAAAGGTCCGGCATTTACCCGCAGCCTGCCTGAATCCTTTTCCGTGCGTTTTTCTTTTTTTTTTTTTTTTCTCGGAGGGAAAAACGGAGGCGGGTGACATTGACCGGTTACATGGATAATCGGAGCCTTTGGCTTGGGTCGGTCCAACCTAACCGAACCGAACCGAACAGGTGAAAGTATTCCAACTTAAAGATACTTTCCGCCTTTTGTCCGCTTAATTGCGTTTAGTAAACTGTTGAATGGAGCCGCTCGATAAAAGGGCCACCGACCAACTCATTTCTATAATGGATGAGCCCTTCATGGTGATTAATTCGACTGAATGCGGCCGACAAATGTTTGCAACCGAAAAGAGCCTCGAACGCTATTATTAATCAGCGGGATCAACCGAATTACTGGTTAAAATCATGCCCTCAAATGAGCAGAAACAAGTGACAAATGCCCCGAATGGGGCGCACTCCTTAATCGAATGATTAAACTGCAAGTGCTGTCTTTAAAATACACACCATTTTACTTATTTAATGGACCTCTGGCTTCAGTTTCCCAAAATTTTAAATGGCGGGGCAGCATAATAAAATTCTTAAGCTCTGCCGGCGAAAAATGTGCCACACGCTAATTAAGAGAAAGCACCCTGAAAGTTTCCTAGACAAACTCGGCTGTCGTGAAATTTAATCATAAATATGTTGAAAACAATTTTTATGGCCACCCATTGGACATGACTAAATTTTCGGGGATACTTATGTTTCTCGAAGAAAATCAAAAAATAATGAGAACGTAGGTTGCTGAAGAAATTGTGTGTTTTCAAACATAATTGTTTCAATCAAAATAAATCCCTTTACCTTGTTTTAAACTACTCGTTTCAGCACGCTCATATTAATCTGCTTGAGGTCCTTTTTAATAATTTAGGCCTCTAGAGATTTTTTGGTGTGTGTTTTTATGGCAAGTTGTCAGGTGGTTTCCTGTATAATGTCGGGGTTCACACCTCTCGAAATCGCCGCTTTTGAGTGACAGGATTCGTTTAACGCAAAACGCAAATTAATATTTAACGGGGTATCCGTGGGGTCGAGTCTGCTAACCTGTCATGTGTGTGTGTGTGTGTGTGTGTGTGTGTGGCCATATTTTTAGCGATGCTCCTCCGGTCTAACCGACAATTTTTATGGCGCCCAACGACGCACAAAGAGCCAAAGTTTATTAAATTTTTTCTTTGCGCCCAGCAACAAAAGGAAACGGCAAAGAAAACTTAAGCTTGGCTATAAACATGTAAACAGAAAAGCAAACACACACACACACACACAGAGAGAGAGAGCGTTCTTGGGGAAATGTCTCGGAAAAGTTTACTTTCTGGGTTGTGGCAAAACATTTTCATATTTGACTTCAACTTGGGAAACATAATTCCTGGGACAGCCACACGAAACACAGATACACAGATACATTTACACAGACTCACACACACACAGAGAGCGATGTATAGACACCCGGTCACAGGTGCCCCAGGTGTCCCCAGTTTTCCACAGTTTTCCTCAGTTTTTCCCCCCCAGGTGCCATGCATTCAAGGCTGAAAAGTGGAAGGAATGCTGGGTTGTCCCTGCGCAACTGGCGGCCACATTAGCTTGGCCAAATGGTTGCGGTTTGCCAACTGGTTGAAAACTGAAAGCCTAGAAAAAAGAAACAAAATTAACGAAATTACCAACCGCATTTAATTTAATTGCTTAGATTTAAAGTTAATTGGTTTTTAGTGTCCGGGTAAACTGCACTGGACCAAGAAGTGTTTGTAAAACAGTTTCGGGATTTAAATGTCTATTTAATAAAAGGTTATAATTCCACCTCGTTATTCGAGAGATTATGCTAATCGCACTGTGTGCACTGAATTTCCGATAAGAAAAGGCTTTACAAAAAAGGCTTTGGAAACCTTTTCCCTTCAGAAAGGCATTTTCATTTCCATTATGGCAATAGCTTGACTATGGGATTGTCCAGTTTTGGAAACTCGTGCGGTTCTCTTTTAATGAGATTTTTGTGATTGCTTTTCCTTTATCCTGATTGCTGCCTGTGGTCCCGGTCAGGGTGCTCAGATACCAGCTGCGACGAGAGCGACAGCCTGAGCAGCACCCCCATTCCGGTGCCCTCGCCGGCTCCCCACCAGCTGGCCTACAACGTGCTCAAGCCGATCCTCAAGCAGCCGCAGTCGCAGTTGCAGTTGCAGCAGCAGCAGCAACAGCAGCAGAGATCCCTGATGCAGCAGCAGCCACATCCGCAGACCGCTTACCAGCACCACCAGTCTCCGCTGCACCAGCAACACCAGCCGGGGATGCTGCAGGTTAACCCGCAGCAACATCTCCAGATGAAGAAGCAGCAACACCAGCAGGTCAACATACAGCCGCACCAGCCCATGATGCTGCAGCAGTTCCAGCAACTCGATCTGCAGCAGCATCCGCAGCAGATAATGCCGCAGCAGCAGCAGCAGCAGCAACAGTTGATGCCGCAGCAACACCAGCAGGTCTCCTTTCAGCCGATCCAATCGATTCAGCCGCACCAGCCGCTGCAGCAGCAGCAGCACCAGACGATGTGCCACCAGCAGTACCAGGCTGCTGCTCCGCAACAGCAACAGAAGGGGGTTTCCCAGCAGCAGCACCAGGTGGGAGTAACCTTCCAGCAGCACCAGCAGTACCAACAGGTGGCCCATCAGCCACAGCAGGTCGCGATGCAAGGGCAGCAGCAGCATCCGCCCGCCACCGCCACCGGTGGACATGTGGTGCACCGTCGGCTGCCCACGCCGCCCACTCACAGCGGAATGGGGGCGTTCCACACCCGGGAGGCGGCCTTGCAGCGGGTGCAGCAGCAGAGCGGCTACTACATCGACGGGCCCAGCACCTCGGCGGCGGCCTATGCCTATAATCAGTCTCTGGATCACCAGCAGCAGCAACAACAGCAGCAACAACAGCAGCAACAGCAGCAACAACAGCAGCAACAGGTGCAGTACGACCAGCAGCAGGAGTTGCAGTACGATCCGCACCAGAATATGCAGTTCGATCAATATCAGCAACATCAGACGCTTCAGCAGCAGCAGCAGCAGCAGCAATACCAGCCGCTCCAGCAGCAGCAACAATATCAGCCGCTTCAGCAGCAGCAGCAACATCAACAGCAGCAGCAGCAGCAGCAGCATTATCCGCTCTACTCAGACGACACCGAATTGGACAACGACTCGGAGTGGGAACTGGACGAGGAACCAGCTCCTCAGATGGCTCCTCAGCTGTCCACCTTCGACGACTACCTCAACGCCTCCCAGAATCCAGCTGGCAGTCGTGTGAGTTATCATATATTATTAATAATTTATAACTGCTTAGTTTTACAAAACGTTTTGTTACCTTATTCAAATATAAAATATTCGAATTTTTTATATAAAAATTTACAGCAGAGTCTGCGAGCCCAAAAGTCGCCGATTTTGCACAGACGTCGCGCCTCATCGATTGCTGGAAATGTGTTGAACTCGGAGTTTTCGTACGGTCGGAACAGTATTGGCGGAGTGCCCACTGATTCCGCCGATTTCCCACGCATTTCGCACAGCAGTAGCATCAGGTAAGAGTTATCCGACTCCTAAACTCATATGTTCGAAATATATATCTAAATATATGTTATAAATATATAAGTAGAAGTAGATCTCCGTCGTCGGATAATGAAATTAGAATTTGAAAACCAACAAAACTGTAGATGTCTCCTCATTTTCCTCCAAAATATGTTCAACATTCTTTGCCATTTTTGCTGAGATTAAGACGATGATAAAGTAGCAGCGGCTTGGGGCATGAGTCCGCAGAAAGGCGTCCAGTCATGGACGAGAAAAAATGATAATTAAAAACTTTGCAACAATGGGTGGCAGAAGGTGGGGCAAGAACGAGGGAACAAGGGGAAGGGGGCACTCTAATTAGGTGACCCAACCTCCTGTAGTCCTCGACTGTGACCTCTTGCCGCCTTGCCTCCTTGTGGGCCAACAACTTGCCATTGCCATTGTCTTTGGCGTCCCAGGGCGACCTTGGCCCAATGGGCCTCCATTCTGAGATGGAGGCTGCAGATTTGCCAAATGCCAAATGGCTTTTCAAATGTTTTACGCTCCATTCATTCACAATTCACCAGCAAATGGCTTGTGAGGATTCCGATTCACACACAACTGCATTTGGCACAAAGAAAAGTGAAGTTTTGCAACATTCCATTTGGCAGAGAAGGAATTTAAATGAGTGCAAAGTTTGCCACATGTATTATATGACAACTTTGCAAGAAGAAATTCAAGAGGTTTTAGAGCCAAAAATTAATTAGTAAGGTACAATATTAAATCGAACATATCTTCACATATTGTAAGCATGTAAACATTCTTTACTTCGTTTCCTGGCAACTGAATGCAGAATATTCTTCGCTTTTTTAGTCAAGCACTATATTTTCTTGAAATTTCGCTGATGCACTTTTTATTCAGATTTCATAACTCTATGCTATGGTAATTAGCCTTATAAAGAGATTAAATTTATTTTACCTTGAATCAAGCAACAACTTTACTGGTAAACAATTAACAATTACCAAAACAAATATTTCTAGAATGTTGATTATTTAAAAATCAACATATTTAAATACGAAAATAAGCAACTCTTTTTTGAATGTAATTTTAATTTTAAATTGAATTTTTCTCCTGCTTTTAGAGATCGCATTACTGTGGCCGGAGTGCTGACCTTCCAGCAAGTGATGTCCGGAGCAGTGTCGCCGCAGTATGGCACTTTGTCATCGCTGAATCCCACTAACCCAACTTCCGGATCCGGCGAGAGGAAGCCGGGAATGGTTGGAGCCGATCCCTTGGGAAGCATGGGAGGCGGAGGCGGAGGAGGAGGAGGAGGAGGAGGCGGTGGTCTACCAGGCGGATCTGCCCAGAATGTCAACTTGAGCGTGGGCTTGGGGTTTCTAGGTGGATCGAGCACCACCTTGGCTGCTGTCGCCGAGGTGACTAGTGGCACGGACTGCAACGGCGACTCCACCGACTCCCCATCCCCGGTGTCCATGGTCGCAGCTAAACAGCAGCAGCAGCAGCAATCGCAGTTGCAGCAGGAGCAGGAGCAGCAGCATCTGCCCACCCACTTGCCAATGAATCGGGAGCGCGGCGTGGGTGAGTCCTCGGGAGCCAGCACATCGGGCACGGCCCTTGCCGATCTGGCCGCCTCCGTGGTCTTGGCCACGAGCTCCGGAAAAATCCTGACCGACCGCCAGCGATTGAGGACCTCCAGCATGCCGGCGGAAAGTCGCAGGGTGAGTGGCCCAAAATATCTTATTCATGCTGAAATTCAAAGAGGATTTGGGTAAATAATTTATATATGTTATATCCGATAGTTTTCATTGAGCGATAGCATTGAGTGCAATGAAATTTATTTTCACAAACTACGCAAATCCCTAGATGATTTAAGCAAACAATTTCCATATAGTATCCTATATCTGATTTTCATTGAACAATAGCAATGCAATGAAATCTATTTATACAAACTACACAACAAACAGTATTCAGTCTTTAAACTTTAATGAGGACCATAGGATATCCTGATACATATAAATATTACATATTCAAGGCACAGACCACTCTGCCCCCTCAGAAAAACTCGGCAGTCACTGAAGCTATTTATTTTTGCCTACATTTTTGGCCAATGCCTAGTCACTCGTAGCCACTGGAGACGGGAACCAGTTAAGCCAGTTCAAGGAGCAGGCTCATGGGGATTATCGCACCGACTTGGGACGACAAGTAATTGAAACTCGGCCGGGGAACAAAAGCCATTTAAGGACAGCCATTAGCACTCCACTCACCAGTGAAATATTCTTAATAGTGGCACTAGCCAAAAAAAAAAGAAAGGAACTAGATATACACAAGACGAAGGAAGGAAAGATTACACATGTATCTGGATCTGGGTTTGTCTGGTTGGTTGGAAGGCCTTTGGCTGTGGGCTTGTTGGCCAAGTTTGCAGCATTCAGCATGACTGAGCATTTGATACATGGTTCTACTTTTGGTCCTCTGCTCTGCTCCCCGGGTCATTGGCTGCCTGAATCGCTTTTTTTTTTGGGGGGAGTGCCGCTGGCAGCTTATCATTTTCCAAACCGCCATTCCCGATTCCCCAAGTGGGCGGACCTGCGCCACCTTCAGTTTCCCTGTATCGCTTTTGGCACATTTGAAAAATCGCCATTATCAGCGGCAAGTTAAGTGCACTCCCCTGGCTGTAATATACTTTTCCTCTACTACTTTATTTATCTACTTTATTCGAAGGGTATTTTGAGGGGTTTTGTTAAAGGAAGGAAGAATTTTAACGTATTTATTGTACACCATCTTCGAAGCATAAAGAGACACCTCGCAGACCTCATTGTTTTCACATTTATTGATTATTGATATTTGGTTCTGGACTTATCAATATTCAATGAGAAGGTACCCGAAAGTCGTGTCACCGATTTTCACCCCATGGCTGTGTGCCATTAACGTGGATTTATGGCTGCGATTGTGATGGTGGGTGGTGATGGTAGTGGGTGGTGGGGTGTATAAGCCATAACCCATAAGCCATGAGCCCCACGCTCCTTCGGCTGACTTGCACTTGTCTAGTCGCTGCAGTTAATGTAATTAGTTTGGGAAATTGCTCGAGTGAAAATTGTGCAACGCGTGCTGCGCCGCGCTACGTGCCACCTGAATTTGCCGCAGTCGCCGGGGACTCTCCAGCCGGCAAAAGCAAAAACTGGAGCAGCCGGGGTCGTTGACCCAAAGTTTTCACCATATCCGCCGGCTCAGAACTTTATTCTATATTATGTATGGATGCCCCGTCTCTCGCAATTGATTCCAGAAATACGCGCGCTGCCTGCTGCCTGCTGTCTGCGATTAAAGTGAGCGAGAACCTTCAAAAAAGGAATCAATGGCAGGCACGTAAATGGGAGATGGCTCCCGGCCAAAGGGATTGCGATTGCGATTGGGATTGCCATTGCGATTGGATTCGGCTGAAGTCTAAAGTCTGAAGTCTGGGGGCAGCATTAAATGCGGAATAGTGTCAAGTGTGCGGCGTACTCGACACCGAACGAGCAAACTTGTCGACTGCAGTTCCAGATCCATTCACACTTCACCTCTTCTTCGGTGGCTGCTGCCAAACAAAAAAGGAGAGAAATTTAAAAAATCGAGAGTCGCAAGGACTGAAACCCCGAAGGCAGCCGAAAAAGTGCAGAAACTTTTGTGCCACCGTGGCCCAAAAGGCCAACCGCACATATTATGTGTGTGTGAGTGTGTGTGTTTGGTGTATGTGTGTTTGTGTGGTGTAAGCCCATTGGGGAACATCGTCCTGCAATTGGCAGGGAACAGGAGCCACAGCCACAAAAGGTGTCTTAACATCCATGCATCCGCATACATTCGGATATGCCATCAGTTGGGGCTTTGTTCATACCTTATTGGACTGAACGAATGAAGTCAAACACTCGCCAGTTCTCCTCATGATTGTGTTTCAGTGCAAGGACATTTATTTATTTGCGGCCAGCTGTCGAGTCTTCTCCTGCAAAAAAAGATGTCATCAAGGACCGCAATGGCCATTTATTTGCTTAGATTTTTATATTTATTTAATAGGTAGATGCAGGAGGACCGAAGCCATTGACTCAAATATATGTTTACTCTGAAGCATCCTTGTCAGAGTCCGAATTTATTGACTTAAAAGTACGCTCATGCGGTTTTATTGAAAAGTCACCGTGGCGTATACGTTATCAAAAATGAAAGCACACCTTGCGTATACGTTATTTTGCTTTTAGTTTCTTCCACTGCCTTTTCGAAATACTCTTTGAGTCTTGTGTTTACTTTCGACAAATGTTTGTTATTTTACATTAATAATGTTATATCTTCCTGTTTGTCATGCGATTTTATTAAAAAGTCACCGTGGCGTATACGTTACGTCAAAGATGAAAGCATACATTACGTATACGTTATAATAAGCATTTTAGTTTCTTCCACTGCTTTTTCGAAATATTCTTTTAACCTTGTGTTTACTTTCGACAAATGTTTATTATTTAAAACCAATAATGTTATATCTTCCTGTTCGTCAAGCGACTGTATTTAAAAGTCAGCGGGGCGTATACGTTAAGTCAAAGATGAAAGCACACATTACATATACGTTATTATGCTTTTAGTTTTCTCCACTGCCTTTTCGAAATAGTCTTTAAATCTGAGGTTTGCCTTCGACAAATGTTTGTTATTTTACGTTAATAATATTATATCTTCCTGTTGGTCTTTTCTAGCCCCGTTTGGCCGAGATGCGTCGCTCGGCCATCCACGCTGGAGATCCGGACATGACCTACTACCGTCTCCGCAGCTTCAGCATCACTTCGCACGGCATCTGCAACTTGGGCGACTCGCTGCGGTAGGTTCTCCCATCCGTCTGCCTTGTTTTGCGTTCCTTTATTCAGTATTCGTATTCCCACTTCCATTTTTGCACTTTTCTTTCGCAACAGAAGTCGCAGGTCACGTTCGATCAATTCCGTGACATCCACTGGCACTTCAAACAGCGGCGTGGATCGACACAATAGGTGAGTTCAGTTCAGTGGTTCATCCTTCAACCGCTCGACGTTCAGCGAGGCTCAATGAGCGAACAAAAGTGGCTGGCAATAAATTGTTTATGAAATGACAGTTCACATGGCGACAACAATGGGAAACGTGCGACATTTTCACGTCTATATGGTCTGACTAATTTCATACAATTTCCACACCAAACAATTTCCGCTGCCATTAACAACCGATGCCGATGAAGATGACGGGGGTGCTCGGTGGCGGGGGAGTCGAAGATGAAGATGACTCGACTCGTAACAATGTCAAGGCGTTTTCCATTTCATTGTTGCGGGAACACAGTGGCGGCACAGTGGGCCATTTCGCTGACTTACCACACAATTATGTTTTCAAATCTTAAAAGATTTAAATGTATCCAAACGAAATGCTTGCGTATGATCTGAGAATTTAGCGGGATTTCTTATTTATTTGCTCGACAGTTTTGAATATTTGCCAATTTTTTGAACGCAGCACAGTGGGCCATTTCGCTGACTTACCACACACATTTGCAATGTTCGAATCTAAAAAAAAGACTTAAGTGGATGCAAACGTTATGCTGAGAACTTAGCTGGATTTCATATTTATTTGCTCGACAGTTTTGAACATTTAGCAGCTTTTTAAGCAAATCCACCCACTGTGCCTCGCCCTTTTCGCCCATTACTCTTATATCTTATCTCGTATCCCCGTAGCAACGCATCGGGGGCATCGGGCGAAGTCATCGACGGGGATCCGAATGTTCCTGCCTACAAAATTGCGATGCTCGGCGGCTCTGGAGTGGGAAAGACGACCCTGACTTACCAGTTCACCACTTCCGATTACATTTGCGCCTACGACCTGAGTCTCGGTAAGTCGTTCGTTGTTTATTATTTATTACTTACCACACTGCTTTATTCAATTGGCAATTTTTTAATTTGGCAAATGTAAAATGTACTATATAGTATATATATATATTTATCAGGCCTGCCGCCGATCGAAGGTTTTTCGCTTTCGGTTGCGATTTTCTCTGCACAAATGTACAGTTCGCATTACAGAATTTAGAACAATACTCGTACTTAGTTTTATCCAAGCATTATGCACATACTCATCGCATAGTGGTTATGTATATTGTAGTTCATAGTTTAGAAGTTTTAGAAAGTTTTATGAGTGCGACCAAAAATCGAAAGCTGCTTTTCCTTGCTACCTTGCACTTTTGTATCTCACACTTTGAAAACTCTTTTTTGGTAGTTTCTGCTTATATCAATATCGTTATTAGTTCATATCAAGTACTGACAAAACTTATCTCTTCAATCCAATTATTTTTATTAGCTGATATCTAGTACTAATCAAACATACATATCTCTTCAATTCAATTATTTTTATTAGCTGATATTGAGTATTAGCATTTAATTAAATCAATTCTTTAGTAGGATTTTAATCGTCTTGTAGTTTTGGCTTACCCGTAACATAATTCACTTTCCTTTTGGCACATGTCTGCCGAAATATGTAATTGAAAACGAAGTCGCTTTCCCATTTTCACGACAGGCAGCTTCATCCATCTCCACTATGCGGCTTTTAATCAAACACATTTGCATTTTAATTATGGCACAAAGTCATAAAATATGGAAAGCGCCAGCGCTAATTTCATTAACTTTCGCGACCATATCACCGGGTCTGGGATCTGGAGTGAGGGAAATGCCAGAGAGAATGGGCGCGTCGGTTGCCCCGCACTTTGTTTGATAACCGCTTTGGACCTTTTAAGTGGATTTACCCACTGGAGTGGAGCACTGTTTCCACTGGCACTGGCATCGGTTTAAAGTCCTGCTCCTCGTCCATAAAATCGCATTAACCTTGGCGAAAATGTTTCACAAGAAGCGTTTCTAAGCTCCTTTGGTTGGAGAAGGTCATTCTTTTTTCTTTTTCTGTTATTGTTAGCATTCAGCACCCGGTAACTTTGCCCAAAGACACTTCCCTACTTAAATTGTTTGAATGGGCACCACGAGGACACCCAGGGATCCCCAATACAAAACATATAATATTATACTACTTTGTTTGGTGATGGACATGCGTACTTATACTCTCACAAGGATAAGCCCTTCTTGGATCTGAAAACTCGAAAAGCTCGAATCGCCTCAAGTTGCGAAATGCGTTGCTTGAAAATTGGCTTAATTAATTGGACGGCCAGGAGAAGATGCAGCCACCACCTGCCGGCGCCTTGTGCAAAATTCCCCCTTTGAATTAATTGGATTGCAGCTGTATCGAATTACCTTTTGAGCAGCGAACTTTAATGGACCGCACTTAAGCTGGCACTGAGTTAATTACATCTCAGATATTCTAGCACTCAAGTGGTTGTGCACCACCGGTGGTCCGGCTTATGGAATCGCAGATCGAATGTTGCCGAAACCCAATATTTCATTAGCAGTGGCTAATTGCAGCTGCAATCGGTGAGCAGTGGGTGCAACACGTGTGCAACACGGTCGCAGCAACAGTTGCCGCACTGCAACTGCTCTTCACTTTTGAAGGAATTTCGGACTGAATGCCTCACTTCCGTGTGCACAATGAAAACGAACGGAGTGCCATATGGTTGCCTTGGATTTTTGCTCTCTTGGCGGAGGACTCCAGAGGAATTTAGGACCAAATATCTCCATTTGGCACAAAGTACACAGTGAAAAAACAGATGGTACGACGCATATGAAATCATTGAGTGACAATTAACCAACAATTTCCCTTCCTGATTGCAACCGCATTTTTGTATTACCGAATTACCAGTCGAATATTCTGTGGTTTGGTTTTTACGGACTGCGTGCAGCTTCTGCTCGTTTCTATTTCCGGTTGCCCTTGCTTCTCTGTTGGCATTTCTTGGCATCCTACTGTACAGTATCCTGTTGTTTGGAACCAAGGAATTCATTCCCACGCAGGAATTTGCTGCTCTCTGTGGTCGAGATAATAAAACTCGGAGCTTTAATTAGCCCCACAGCAATGGCAAGGTTTATGACGACAGTCATGTGGCCATCGTTTTGAGTTTTGTTTGTTAGTTTGTTGGTTTGTTGGTTTGTTGGCTTGTGACAATTTGTGTGTTCACTTTCGTTGGGGAATTTCCATGGACGGATTGTCCTCCTGGATGTCGCCCACTGCTTTTTACTGCTTTAACACTGCTTGCACTGCTTGCCCTGAATGCTTGAATCGTGCTTTGTTTTTCCGCCCATTGTGCAGCATTTCACAATGCCTTTCTGCAGGACACGCAAACTGCCGGGTTTTGCGTGTGGGCGTCCGTCCTTTTGGCCATCTATCGCTAATGGCCAACAGCATTGCATGACCACAAAAACTCTGGGGGCGGCGGAACTGCTCTGTGGCCACTCCCCCAAAAAAAAAAACCAGATGGTAGAATTTATTACATGCCATGTCCGTTCCGTTTAGAGTAAATCTAAGTGCTTCTGATTGCGGAAAATAGCTCAAACAAAGCCCTAATTTCACTTGAATTTATGCTGATGCAATCAGGCGCTCCTCGGGCTCAGCTGTAAGCTGCAATTGCCCCGCAGAACTTCAAGTTGATTGCAGTTGAACGATGGCAGTTGAAAGCAAAGGACCTGTTGCCTGCTAAGCGCCTTAAAGGATTTGAGCACGACTGTACCTGTTGAATGGCATCGCAAATAGAGTGCGATGTGAATGGCGGGGTAAGAGGAGGCGCCGCACCATCAAGGAACTATTAAGTTCTAATAATCCCATTTGGCGTTAATAATTTACCATCCAACGAAGCCCACACACGCGCCCCTTTGAAACGCCTTGCTTTCAAGGACACCCGCAATTGCACCGCCACTAATCCCACCGAAAATCGTTGTCGAGGGGGGTTTAAGAGGTTCGGCTTCGGTTTCGGTTAGTTCGACTGTTTGCAGTAGCATTTGAATAATTGCATTGCAATGACCCGTCGACGCAGTTGGCTTTCGCCGCTTGTCAATGGCATGACTAATCAGCTAAGCCTTCGCCCAAAGGACCTTCGCCTGGCACACAAAGTGCGGCGGCGCTACACGGAAAAGCTTGCTTTTCCTATTCAATTTGTGCGGCACCGCCCACGCATTGAAAATTACTGGCAACATGCAAATTAACCCGGGACAACGGCGGAGTTTACTCGCATATGGATTTTCGGCACGGCACGGGTCTTCTGGGTGGCTTCTGGGTTAAGGGGAATCTTGCGGATGCGGGTCGACTGGCGTCTAAATATTTGCCACAGCTGAATGCAAACAGAGATGGGCGGACAGAGTCGCAAACTGCAGTCATTGTCTGCTCCTGCGGCTCTTTGCCCCTCCCCATCCCGTCGTCGTTTTTTTTCCAGTGGTGGCAATCCTGCCACCCCAGAGTTGCCACCCCCACTCCGTTTGCCCGTGTCGAACTGCTGACACAGCGTGTATTGGGCGGTGCTCCTGCACCGGGGAAAAAAGTACTGGAATAGCATGCAAATTCATAAAAGCATTTACCCATTTAAGAACTCATAACTATGATATATTTTAATATAAGTAGTTCTTTCTTTAGTTCAGTAACTAGCCACTACATTTAAAACTAACCCAAATTAGCACGAAGTTTTGTTCTGAAACCCACCTTTAAACTCAGTTTTGTGTGGGCTTAAATTAATAACATGCTAGCGGAAAGTTTCCCCTCTTTTTCCCAGTTTGAGGATATAGAATCCCTTGGTGTTTTGTGGCTGTGTTGTGGTGACGTAGCACTTTCCGTGTGCACCACCGGAGAAGAAGGCTTTTCGAGACTGGAGTTCCAAGTCCCTCACCCACTTCATGCCCACTGTCTGCCTTCCCTGCCCCGTTTTATGATTGTGGTAAAAAACGAGTCAATGCAGACTGGGTACTGGGTAGAAAGAAAAAGGGGGGAAGGGGCGTCAATTGCGTCATTAACTTGCCCGGCAAATAAAATCACTTTGATTACGGTTTTATGGGCGGCACGCCCACCAACGCCCCCCAAAGGTTGTCGCCGCCTGCGGTGCAATTTGATCGATTTTAGACCCTTGGCATTGCACTCAGCGACCGGGAGTTGTTTTAATTTCCTTGAACGTCCTCGGGAAGTCCCCGCCAGTGTAGGGTTGTTCTCCCCCACCCCAAACGTCGTTTTCCAACACAGGCACGCTCGAACTATGCACTCCTGCTTGGGTAGTAGCTTCATACTAACAATAACACTAATACTCGTAATATCCATCATATTTTATTCGACACCTAACCAGTAACCAGTAACCAGTAAGATCTAGCATTAAGGGAATGTCTGACGCACAAGGCTGTTGTTCCCCAGCTCACAAATATTTTGGCTGCGTTCTTTTAGATGATGATTATGGACAGAAGACGGTGTCGGTGCTAGTCGACAACATTGAAACGGATTTGGAAATTATTGATCATCCCGCATGCGAGATGTCGGTGAGTAAGCAGCGAGCGGAGAGGTGGAAGGCACCTCCTCCCCGCAAACAGAAAGTAATGGTAGTACCCCCTAATAATGGTGTCCCCCTAAAAACGAACACCCTTCGAATACGAGTCCATCGTCGGTTCAGACCCTTCTCATCCGGGGACTCCGTTCTCCATACTCCGTTCTCCATTTACCAATCTCTACTCTCCATTCTCCATTCTCCGTTTTCCGATTTCCCCCCCCGTCTGGCTGAGTGGGTCAAGCTGCGCCAGCTTGTGGGTTAAGAGCCAAGCCAAGCCGTCTGCCTCTGACACATTTGCCAAATGTCATTAACACTTCTGTGTTTCTCCGAGTTCCTTCCCGGTTTCCCTGCTTCCCTGCTTCCCTGTCACTTTAAAGATGAAACAAAGTGATGTGACGGCTGATGCGAGTGTGGTCTGGGCGGACAAAGGTTTCGTATTTGGTATTTGTCTCTGCAGCATCAGCAGTCTGGTTTTCCCATCAAATATTCCCTCGGCGAGTTCTGAACTCTCTCTTTACTTTGCATAAACGGAAAACACCTATTGGAACAATCAGTTTGTCTACTAAAAGTGTGCACTTCTAATAAATCTTGAAAAGGCTGGGTTCGAAGTTCAGGCAATAACATTTCAATATCATTTAACAAGCGGCTAACCATTAAAATTGTATTTTAATTTAAAAGTGCTTACAAAGGAATTATTTACATTGTTATCAAAAAAAAAAAAAAACAATTAAGTGTTGTGAATGTTTGAATTTACTTTTAACTTTTAACAAAATGAGAAAATCAAAAATTTGGATTTTTAAGCGGATTTGGGTAAACCATTTAATGTTGATTTGATAAATTGTGATTGCATCTGCTTACGTGTTACATTCCATATTCCATTTTTTAGCCCGCTTAAATGTGTTGTCTAACGAGGATCTTAAGTCTCTTTAAGCTGGCCAAGGTCATTGGTCGCAGCTGCGAAAAGCGCTCAGACGAACTGGGTTGCAAGGCCCATCCTCGAGTGGGTATCCCACCTCCCACCACCCACCTGCCAACTTTCCCTACCCCTCTCGCCGCTTGGAAATTTCATTAAAATGCTTTTTTTTGTAGCCCCGTTTTCTGCACCATATGTTTCATCTCTGTCCCTTTGTTATTTATTCTTTTCGCCGCCACCACACTTGGTTGCTTGGTTCCCTGGTTGCTTGGTCCTTCAGACGGAGGCCTTCTGTGCCACCTACAACATCGACCTCTTCGTGGTGGTCTACTCGGTTATAGACCGCAACACCTTCGCGGCAGCCGAGCGGGTCCTGCAGTATTTGAAGGAGAACGAGATGCTCTTGTCCCGTGGCGCGATCCTGGTGGCCAACAAAACGGATCTGCAGCGACATCGGGTGGTCACCCGTCAAAGTAAGTACCTTCCCCTGATTATCCATACACAAACTTGTTTAACTAAAATGCGTCTTATTATATTATATATAATAACTCATATAATAACTCATATATATATAACTCATATAATAACTTATAACTCATATATTAACTCATATTATAACTCATATAATAAGTCATATAATAACTGATATAATAATTCATATAATAAGTCATATAATAACTGATATAATAAGTCATATAATAACTGATATAACAACTCATATAACTTATAAAATAACTCATATATTAAATCATATTCTAACTCATATAATAACTCACATAATAACTCATATAAATATAACTCATAACTATATATGATATCTCATATTTTTAACTCACACCCTCTCTTTCCCAATCTTCTATTTAATCCAACTGCAGTGGGTCGCAAGGTGGCCAAGGAAATCGCTTGCAAATTCATCGAGACCTCCTCCGGCTTGGACCACAATGTGGACGAGCTACTGGTTGGCATCGTGGCCCAGGTGAAGCTGAACCCGCAGCGCCTCCGGCTGCTCACGGAGCAGGAGCTGCAGCGCCTGAATCTGCAGAGCACGATACAGAAGCACCGCGGGATGCACTCGCAGTCGCGGCGGATGGTGCGCCAGATGAGCATGTGCCAGGGCGACGGGGAGATCTTCGATGGCGGATTGCCGGAGAGATTGCCGAACGGCGACGGCGATCCCGACGCCCAGCCTGGTACTTCGAGGTCGAGCCGGTCGCGGGTGGAGAACCCCAACCGCAAGCCACTGAATCTCGAGAGCATCCTCAAGATGGGCGAGAGCGAGGTGGAGGACGAGGATGGCCATGGCCAGAACCAGAACCAGGCACACGGACATCGGGGTCAGCGGATGCGGCAGGGACAGAAGCCGTCGCAGCTGAGCAAATTCAATATGCTCGCGGCCACTTTGAGGCATCGGCGGCCCTTTCGCAAGCGTCGCTCGTTCGACGGCGGCGTTACCACATCTGCGGCAGCGGATGCCGCCGCCGAGCTGCAGCGGCGCTATCAGCTCCGGGCGATGGACGACCTGCAGCTGGAGAACCGCCGGGCGGCGGAGGAGCGCTTCGGGAATAGGCGACTGAACAACAACCTGCACGCCGACAGCGACGAAGAGGAGGAGCTCGAGGCGGAGGCAGATGGAGATGCAAATGGAGAGGGGGATGGCGATGGAGAGGCGGAGGAGGAGGAGGGAACCGAAGGAGCCAACCGACGGCAGGGTAACTGCAACAGGAAGGTGGTCAAGAAACTGACGGCCCGCACCAAGGTGTTCATCACGTCGGTGCTGCGCTTCAAGAAGGCCATCAGCCTCAAGCGGCGCAACTCCTCCAGCTGCAGCGATCTCTTCGTGATCTAAGCATCGCTTGGAGGAGGAGGGATTTGAGTATAGACTGAATGTACATAGAAGGCACAAAGGATGAGGAGCAGCAGCATCCCCCGGAAATACGGAAAAGGAGGAGCAAGTTCGGGAGACCCAGAAATCCAGAGATCCAAAAACCCAGGCACATCGAAGCAGCAGCGCAAACCGAGGTGGAGTCGAACACGGATGCCAGAATGAGGAAGTCAGCTTGTGAGGAGGTCAACGAATTCCATAAAAACCAAAAAAGAAAAACAAACAAAACAACAACAACTACAGGGAAATTTAAATCTTATTAAGAGGCCAGCGAAAATTGCAGTATTAGAAGAAATATTTTAGAAGACGTCTGCAGTTTGTAAAGCCAGGTAAACCCTTCAAAAAGTTTAAGACTATATAATTTTCCAAAGAAATCTCTAGGGACTTCTAAGATCAACCAAAAAGTATGATTTTTAAGATGAAAATATAGTGTTTCGGTTTATATTTTAACGATACTTGGATCGTATATATATTTTGAACTCTTAGAGGATTCTTTGGGCACTTGAATACTAACATTTTAACGAAACCAATCTTAAACAGTAGTTGGCGCTGCAAAAGCGGACAATAATTTTATTTTTAAAAAGATATTGACCATAAAATTTTACAAAATCGAATATTCGAAATACAAATTAAGAGCATGCATGTAGTATGCGAATGCAAAATTGAATCCAATCCGCTTAAAAAAAATGTAAATTCAGTGGAAATCGCAAGAGCAGACAACAATGGCAAAGGCAATATAAATGAATGAATGAATTATTTCCATAAGTAATTTTATATTTTTTTGTGGTTTCTGGTTATTGTCAAACGCGTGGTTTCTGATGAGTTTCAACCTATTATGAAGTGGGGCCTACCAAAGAGTGAATCGCTTATAATGACAAGATAAAGGCACCACTCGAATACAATTTATCCTAGCTAATCAAGAGTACGATCAAAAACAAGAGCAGTGCAAAAATTTCACACCATTGCAAACTTTACGACTTTTTCTTAATGTGACCAGCTCAATTGCTCAACTATGAATGACCTTTTACGACATTGGGCACACTGAAATGGTTTACTTTACACCTACATTTATATACTTACATTTATTTGTGATAGCTTATGTAGTTGATTCCTTATTAGACCTTCCATCGTAGATATATATCTGGTTTTTCCATAATTTTAGTTTATAAACCCTTAACGTATCTTACTATAAACGCAATGTGAGAACTTTTTGTAAAGGGTGACCCTTTATACCTGCTGCTCGTTCGGCTATTGCTGAACTAAGATTATTCAATACTTAGTCGTCTAGCGCCCGATGAAGTGGGATGGAGAACATTTTTTTTTTTAGAGGCGCCCATAACCAAGCGTATACAGATAAGATTTTCATATTTCTAAGTGTCGTGTGGTTGAGTATACCGAAAGCACATTACACGACAAACACAATTACAGGGGCAATCAGAACCAGGGTTCGATGCAAACATTTGGAAAGGATTATACAAGTGTATATCGGGTCAGTCCGAGTGGAAGTGTTTCACTTATAAAACGGCAAGAAGTTTAGAACCATTTACAATCCAAGAAACATTGTGCACAGAGGAATTTTAAATAAAAAAAACTAACTTAATCATCAAAATGCAGAGATTACAAACTACAAATTAGGAAAGGGAAAAGGGACTGACCTACAATTGGCAAAACACACACTGAATAGATCTAGAAAGTATATAGTTATCTGCACGCCCCCTAATGCTCCGCCCCCTTTTCGTTTCCACTGGTAGTCGATGGTACTCGAGCCAGTCGAGCAAAATCCTTAATGAGCTTAACCAAAGCCTGCACCACTGAAAAGGAGGAGGACATGGCAATATGGATGCGGGAGCAGAAGGAGGGGTTTCACAGAGTAACACAAATTATGAAAGGTTTCCCAGCAGAAAGCAGATGATTGACAGATTATGAATTGTAAACTTTACACTCATCGTTTGTATCTACTTACCTTATTACGTATGTTCATATCCAGCTTTATCTCCAATTAATGACCAACTTGTAAACTTACGTTTGGTAATTGTGTTAAGCTACCTCGAATACCATTGAAACTATTTGAATCAGAAATCAGTGTATGCCAATCCCATTTACTTCTGATAATTGTACGCACGTATTTTAGTTTGTTTACTTAAACCAACCTAAACATGGTAGCTAATACCTGTTGAGGTCTGCAAAAAAAAAGAGATACGTAAATAGCCGTAAGAACAGATCAAAATAACTGAATGTATAAGAGAACAAAGAACAAGCTCACAGTTTCCCCATTGTTTTGGGCTGTTTGCACAACCGAAAGCAACACAAAGTCAAACAGAAAAAACCTAAACAAATTGAAAAATTGAAAAAAGAAAAGAGAACACATTGAACCATCCATACATAACTCCCCCATAAACATTCACTTCAAACAATTGGGAAATGTGGAAAATGCAAAGAACGATAAATTATATTGCTCCAAGTAAGAAGACGTTGCAAGGGAAAATTTAAAGAATAACTGGTAGAGGACTTCTTTTTTTATTGAAAATAAATTCTTGACGTGACTGGATCGAAGCTCCCGAAAAAAAAGGGAATACTAAAATTGGACAAATAAATACAAGTTTCGGAACAACGAATAGCGAATGCACCAAGCTTGAGATTGAGATTTGGGTGGAGAAAGCGGCGAACCCAGCATTCACCGGACATCACCGACTGTGACCACAAGTCAGGAAATATTATCATTATTATTGCCAGCATTATTTTGAACTTAACTAATATTAATCCTGGACACAACTGACACTTTTGAGCTTACAGTGAGGGGGCAGACAAGGCGACGGGACTCAAAGGAGTCCCTGAATCGGATGAGGAAGCAATGGGAACTGGACAGGAAGCTGGGTCGACGAAAAGGGAACCTGGAGACCCAGAACCACCACTTGGACACTCAGACTTGGCACTCTTGCGGACAGAATCACTTCGGAACCCAACCCACTACCTACTACTTCAAATCGAGACTGATTTTACTTATCCCAAACAGCACAACGCATCCGATAAAGAACATATATAGGTATGGTTCATCCCAGATCAGAAATGACAGAGTGGACATCCTGACATCCTGAACTCTTTCATATCCCAACAACACATTTCGCATTCACCGGTAAACCGACGATTTAGGAATACATTTACAAACTAAAGAGCCTATCGCTTTGATAGGCTGGAATATACAAAACTACTTGAATACAAATATATCTTATACGAACGATTATATACCCATATTATACATATATGTATACAGAATATATACGACTAAGTATTTACACACAAGTTTTACTCCGTGCCATTCGAGAGCGCTAAGTTAAGTTGAACATTAAACGAATTTCGGACAGGTTCAGCGGCATTTTAATGGGAAACCATACGACTATGATTAACTTGTTCTTAAATACCATTTAAGTTTTATACGCGAACGGAGGTTTAGTTGAATGAATTAAGCTAAACTATCTTCCTGCTGTTATAGTTTGCCACCTTTCCACCTTTCACTCCGTTCGAATCGAATCCGAAGGCAAGAGATCACCTTAGAACACTTCTCAAAGGAGACATTTTTGTTGACTTACGAAATTGTTTACAAATCAAAGACACTCTAGTTGATTCTAATTAACAAGATCTCACACGATAAATACAATTTATGATAAGTGTGTGTTTGCAAGAAAACTCTAATTGTAATTAATCCATATAAGCATAAACCGAACGAACATTTGCTCCTTTCCCAAAAACGATTTCGAGCGATTTAAAACTTTCCAAGTAAGCAATTGATTTAGGTAAGCAAAGGAAATGATGGTTCCGCGTGGATATATATGATATATACTTATTATGTAGAAGACCACATTTAGTACGTATGCGTAAGCATTTGTAATTCTATTTTTTTTTTTTTGTGTGAGAGGCACATTCAATCAAATTGAATGGTCACTTTTATCCATAAATAAATATTTTACTCTGTGTGTACAATTGAATTAAAGCTTATATCTGCATTAACTTTCAGTCTTTTAATGCGGAGAGCGGGAGTGTGGAAATTTGCAGGTTGCCCGGTTGCCAATTAGGGCTACGATTTGGAAGGATCTCAAGGAGGATGAAGGGTATCCATCACGACTCACCACATAACTGCAACGCATAGTTCCCAATTAAAAGTTACTCCATGCGGGCTCTGCAGACAGAGTATTAGACTAATGGTCCGGCACTTAATCAACGCAGCGCCACGACCGCCAAAAATGTTGTTTTCTGCGGCTTAGCTGGGATGCCCGTGTCCGTCCTCGAAGTCCCAGGAAAGGAAAGGCGATGGCGAAAGTTGCCAAGTGGCAAAGCGGCCAAGTGGCCCCTATAAATGACTAATCAAAATTCCAGCAGAAGCCGAGACCACGGAAAACGGAAAACGGAAAAGGGGGCGACCAAATAACTGGGATAGCTGACTGGCTGCTGGAACATTAATTATGTTCATCCGATGGTCGCCCCCTATCATACATATTACAGGCATATGGGAAACGAGCAACGGAAGCAGGAACGCCGGAGTTAAACCCAAGGTAAGGAACTCACTTTAAATTAAGGGAGAGACAAGTAATATGGATAGCCAAAGGTTCCCTTAGATAAAGGTTCTCTCACATTGAGTGAACAGGAATTGCTTGTTAGGGATTCATGAAGGTCTTGTATGATATGTTTGCTTAATCAATTGCAGCCTCGGGTTGCGGCTTTCGCTCCCTTGGTTTTCCTTTACTTAACTGAACCTCAGATTTTTGTGCATCAAATGCCAACTGCAGTGCCACAAACACCATTGACCAAGACAAGCCTTTATTGCATATATCCTGTCAACTTCAGCAGGTTTGCGGCTAACTCCGCAATGCAGCTGGTACTCCGATGCAAATTGAATCGAATCCAAGTGTAGATATTTGGCCAGAAAGGCCTCACATTCCGATTTAGATGTAAATGAACCCCACGAGAGGGAGAAATAATTCAAAAGATCGAAGTGCCAACTCACTGATTGGATTGGGTAGACAATTTGCAAGTTTTATTCGTTGTAAATTTAAAAAAATAAATTAATGGTTCGAATAAATAGGGAATAAATAAGTGAAAGTTCGGGGAGTTGGGGGAGGGGGAGCACTTAAGCACTACGAATGTAACTCTACTATTTCTCCGACCAGCTGCGGCGGTACAAGGTATTTACACTGTTGCCCAGCATGTTGGCAAACTCGCGCTGGCCGCTCAGTTGAAAAAATCCAGGATGCCATTGAGGAGCTCATAGGCGAATCCTGTTTCGTCTCCCGTCGCCTCCGAGGCGGCCTTCTTCTTCTTGTTCTTTTTCGCCTTCTTCGACTTCTTGGACTTGGGCGTGGTGGAGTCATCGGCGGCGGCGGCGGGTGCCGGGGTCACAGCAGCAGCAGCAGCCGCAGCCACCAACTCCCCCTCGGCGGGAGCAACTGCAGCCTCGCCAGCTGCCGCAGCAGGAGCACCCGATTCGTCCTTGCTCTGCACCTGCACCTGCTCCCCGTTTGACGTGGATGTGGCGGCAACGTGCTCGCGGGTCTGGTCCACCGCAGCCGCCGCCGCTGGCTTCTTCACGGGCTTCTCGTCCTCGTCGTCGTCGAGCTCGTCGAGGAGTCCGGCCAAGCTGAAGCCACCGTAGTCGGCGTCCTCGGGCGCCTCGGCCTCGTCGTCGTCGGCGTAGTCCTCATCGTCGTCGGTATCCGAATCGGTGTCTGCATCCGCATCTGCATCGTTGTCGTAGTCGTCCTCGTCATCCTCGTCGTCGTCGCCACCAGCTGGCAAAATAAGGAAAATAATATAAAATAAGTCAAAATCAGGAAAGCATCGGAAAAAGTTAGTGGGGCTTATGAGGAAATAGGTGAGAAACTAAAACTAGTTCTTTAATGTATTCCAAATATTACACTACCCTCAGACTAAACAATTTCCCTTGAGAATATATCAAAATTGGAGTTCAACTAACTTTTTGCATAACGAGAAAATTATGATTGAAATAAGCGAACAAGTAAAAGAGAGCTTCGAGTTGGCAAACTTGTAAATGTCTTGGCCATCAAGCGCTGTTCAACTAGTCGGATGCGTAATACGGCAAACAAAAATCAAGTATACGTCAAAGATAGTTTCGCCAGCCAAAGTTTTGGGGGTTTTCCTGCTCATGGGTTAAGCCCACGCGTGGGTGTGCCATTTGAATTGCGGAAACCTCCGCTTACCGGCAAATCCGAAGATGTCATCGTCGTCGTCGTCGTCGTCATCGGAGCTCGGCTTCACGGGCAGCGGTTCCGCCTCCGCAACCCGGAGTCCCTCCGGACCGAACTTGAAGCAGGAGACGCGCAGGGAGGCCTCCACCTCGTCGTCGGCGCGCAGCTCGAAGGCCAAACAGGCCTTGAAGTCCTTGGACTCCTTGGAGCGCGACAGTCCGTAGACCTTGCCGCAGAACTTGGAGTAGCCGCCGGGGAGGCCAACGCAGATGGGCCGCGCCCTCTTGCTGGAGATGCGGCGCGAGGCGAGGGTGATGTCGCCGTACTTCAGGGACACGCTCATCTCGTCGTTGCCCAGATAGGCGATCTTGGCGCAGCCCGGTCCGCTGGGCAGCAGCGGCAGTCCGATCTTGCGGCAGCAGTCGCAGTGGCTCTCCGTGCACTTGCAGAACTTGCTGATGGGATTCTCCGGCTTGGCGGTCGTCGGAGCGGCCGTGGGCTTTGCCGCCAAGGTGGTGGCCACCGCAGGAGCAGCTGCCTCTGGAACCTCTGGAGCGGCAGCAGCCTCGACAGCGGCTTCTGGAACGGATTGGACAGCATTTGCGGTCTCCGATTCGCCGGTGGCAATCTCATTGGCGCTCTCATCGATCACGGAGGCGGGAGTCACGGCAGCGGCCACCTCGTCCGCCACGTCCTCGATCTTGGGAGGCTCCGATTCTGGTGGCGCCACATTCGGATCGATTTCCTCCGGCGGCAGGTCCAGCTGCTTGAAGTTCTCCGATATCTTGTCCGTGCGCCGGAACACGGTCTTGGCCTCCAGTTGGACAACAGCCGAAAGGGCCACCAGGAGCAGGATCAGCAGGGTGCTCCTTGAGCTCGTCATCTTGAATCTGCAAACAAAAGTAGAGGAATATGTAATCATGGTGCGAAAATAGTGGGTGAAACTATGAGCAATCCTTTGGGATATACCCTAATTCATCTGTAAAGCAGAATTTATAGTTTGTAGACGAGTTTAACTATGTTGAATGCACTGAAAAATATTAAATACATTAGTTACCATCTGTGGGTTGACCTACCGAAGCAAACTACTCCACAAAGACCACAAGCTTTTCGCTTTGTTTTTCTCTGCGTAGGCAGAATCCGAATCTGAATCGGAATTCGAAATCGAAATCAAAGTGGAGCGGTTGAGGAAGGTGGGAATACGAGCACACACACAAAAAAAAAAATAAATAAATACTGAGAGGTATTCCAAAAGTCAACAGCTCGGAAATCGCTTTCAAGTGGCCAGCGATTAAATTTCACCGCATTCTTCCTCCACATTTTTTTTTTGGCCGCCTCGTATTTTGCAAAAGAAATGAATTTAAATAAATATTGACATAATTTCTCTCACTTCTTTTCGCTTCTCGCATCGTTTTCGTCGCGGCCAGCGCTTCCAAATGCAAAAGTAAACAAATTAACATCGAAAATCAATGGCTTTGAAAACTAAAAACCCAAAATAACGGAAAGAGACAACGAGAAAACGAGAGTGAAATCTCTCCGCGAAGTTATTTAATTGACGAATTGGGTTAGCCCCATTAGAATTGCCACCAGTCATCCGAATCCACTCCGAAATTCATTCATTTCATTTCGTTTCCTAAGAGCCAACAAGTTGCAGCTCGTTGCCAACTCAAACTTCGCTTCCATTGTTTTTTGGGGCCTTCTTCTCTCGGGTGGCGGCAGGGGGAGTCACCAGTCACCGCACCGATGGCAAAGTGAAATTTCAGCTATTGACTCATTTAACTCAAGTGCTCGGAGGCAAAAGGGGGGAGCTTCGCTCCGGAGCGCCCCAAGATGTCCAAATCAATTAGCGGCTCTTAACTGGAGCTCAACTGGTGGAGAAACCCAAGGGTTTCAGTTCAGCCAAGAGCAGAACTATTCAAAGATAAATATGTATAACGCTCCGGCCAGAAGTTGGATTGGGTGGGGACATTAATTTCCTACTGAATGATGTATATATTCATCCTAAAGTGTGCTTTAATTTCTTACTGGATGATGTATATATCTTAAAGTTTGCTTTAATTTCTCACTGGATGATGTATATATTTATGTTAAAGTTTGCTTTAATCTCCTACTAAATGATGTATATATATTCATCCTAAAGTGTGCTTTACTTTCTTACTGAATGATGTATATATCTTAAAGTTTGCTTTAATTTCTCACTGGATGATGTATATATTTATCTTAAAATTTGCTTAAAGCGATGCAGCCTTACGACACCCTTTTTATTAGATTTAATTTTTAAAATATGATTACACAACAGTGATTTCCTTTCTATTTATGTCAGTCAATTCATCTACAATTTTGTCAAATTAGTTAATACATTTCACCAACTCCCACCGAATTTCCCTCACTAATTTATTGAGCATTAGCCAAGTAACCATGCTGTGTGGATTATTGTTTTTCCCAGCACTTCGTTTGCCCGCCCACCTCACATTGTCTTCAGACGACAATTTGTGCAGTCTTGGGCGAGCGAGTTGCCCCGCCAAAACCACATGGGATGTGGGTAATCTATTCTTCCATAACTGGCTTATTACCGAGTATTATCTGCGCTTGCCCACCCATTCTAATGGCGCCCATTTCCTTACATCATTTTCATTTCCATTTCCATTTCCATCATTTGTCTGGAAACGGTAAATAATAAACAGCAGAAATCTCGACCGGCCAAGCGGCTGAACCTGCTCCATGTGGCCGCCACTCTGTTCCACTTTCATTTTTCTGGTCGCCGCCTCCTTCTGGCTACTTCTTCGCTACTTGGCCCTCTTAAATGGTAAATGGTAAATGGTACGTGGCTCCCAGCGTGATGTGTGGTATCTGGACATTCCGTTGATGACCTTCCGCTCGAACGGAACAACAACAAACACCATTTGTGACCCAGTTGGTGGTGCCGCCACCGTCGTCGGCCATTTGGGCGAAGAAAGTGGCCAAGTGTGGCTAAATATGGCAGCAGCTAAAGCCACGTCTAAGTCTCGATTCGAGTCCAAGAATAAATGCTCGGAATAGAGCCAGTGGCATTGGGTTGGCCAATATGTGCACGTATTCAGTGTCCAATACCGCAGACATTCGGCATTTGGCGGCCCATGAACGTAAAGCCACTTGGCTGAGATTGAATGGTTCAAATTCCGGGTTTCTCGACGCAAATCCTAAAGGTCCTTAAGCTTTGCAAGAACAGAATGAATTTGTGATTGAATCGTTATTCCCATTTTTGTTTGGGAAGAGGCCACTGCACCCATTCTTGATGCTTGTCAACTGACATTTCCGCATGATCACTCAGTTGCACTCACTTCTGAATAATTTCACCAAAGGTGAAATAATCTATTATATTATTATTATAATAATTTCACCAAATTCCAATACGTAATCGAGGGTCTCGAAAGTCCAGTTTTAGGCCTTCGCCTTATTTGCATGTCGCATTTGAAAACAGACGGAAAAAAAAAAATAATAAAAAAAAAAGAGTCCACGTGTGTGCGGCCTTTCTCACTCCCACTTTTCAGTTTGTTTTCGAGCATTTTCGAATTTTGTCAATAAATTATAACGGTTGTGAAAAGTTATTAGCATTAATTAATTATTAAACGCATAGGAAAATAGAAAGTGAGACAGTGTGTGGTTTTTTTCTTCTTTTATCGAAAATTATCATAACACAATCTGATTTTTTTGGGCGGCGATGGGTTCGCTCATCGAAACCAAAATCGAACTCTGTTAATTATTCAGTGCGGCAGCGAAAGTGTTCGAGTGATGCAAAAATTCCCTCAAAAGATTTCTTTCTCATCTCGTCTCGTTCGGCCATTATAATGGTAGATATATCTTGTTGATTTTTTGTTGATTTTTTTGTTGATTTTTTGTTGATTTTTTCTCGATGCCAGCAGCATCTGTGCTTCTAATCCACCGCTGGTGATTACGAAACCAGCGCGCTTCGATTATGCTAAACAGTTTGTCAGACTTTTACATCCTTCGGTTCGGTTTGGTTTATATAACCCCATATACTATATACGTATACATTCGTATAAGCCCAAAGAAATTTGCATAATTTTCTACGGCCTTTGTTTTTGTTTTTGTTTTTTCGGCTGCTGTGAGATTTTTCTGCTTGATTTGTGTTTTTTCTTAACTTTCAGTGTGTGTGTGTGTGTGCTTACCACTTTCTTCTTGCTGTGTGTGTGTGAATGAAATCGCTGGGCAGCAACAACAATAGCACAAAGCGAAGAGGAGGTAAAAATCAAAGTTACCATAATAATGATGACCATGTCGAGAGGCCCATACCTATGCCAAAATTAAGGTTAAGTTCTTTGGCTGCAGCCAATGGTGAAATTTTCAGCTTGCCATTGGCGTGGGCGGGGCGAAAAGGTGAAGAGGCGGGGCAAAGCGGTAAAGGGGAAAAGCGGTAAAGGGGAAAAGGGGTCGGGGTCGACATTTCCGGTCAAGGCTGGTCCGATGGACCAGAAAATTAGTCCGCTTTCGGTTGGGAAACCTTGGATTTCAGCGCTCAGATCAACACACAAACGAATAAATGTTCTTTGTGATATACCTTTTGCTTTCAAAAATATTATCATTTTGAAATGCTTTTCGCTGATATAGTGACTCAAAGTATCTAAAGTTAAAGGGCTCAGAAGTTTTAAGTCTGTACAATATTAATGATACGATGCAGAAGAGTGTTCAAGTTTTTATTGAATGGTTTTTGGGGAGAAGCTTAGCTTTTTTTTGGGAGCTGTCAGCCGTTGGATAACTGGAAAACTCCAGCTGGCTTTGATCATCAATTAAGCCCCGCAGCCCCCGCGGCTGCCTGTTGGTCAGAAGCCACAAGCCAGCCACCAAGCCAGCAGCAACCACCTGAGCCAAAAGTTGGTTGGCTGTGGACCAGATGGGCAACAATCATCGGACAGACAGACAGTTCCACTTTCCAGCACCCGAGACACCAGCACTTGGGACACCGGACCATCGGACGGCCAAGAATGCGGTGCTGCTGATGAGGTTGTTGTAGAAAGTAAAACGAAGAACCCGCGTCGCATTTCTTTTGTTTTGTTTCTGTTTTCGTTTTGTTTTGCCAAATTCAAATAAGTTGAGTTAATGACAAGGAAAAGAAGAACGCACACCGCAAACAGAAGCGGATGGCTACGTAGATGGAGATCTGGGGAGTTTTTGGGAGCGGCGGTACTCGAGGGGACATGTATGGTGTACAGTGGATACCAAACTGGTTGACACAATTCCATGCCATGCCGACTGCCGACTGCCGACTCGCAACTGGCAACTGGCCTTTTCTTGGACTTTTACGTGCAATTGTCGCTTTGGCTTTGGCTTTGGCTTTGGCTGTCTTTGGTTTTTCCAACTCGAGTGCTCCTCATTATTGGCCCAGTTAAGTGTTGATAGACCGATAGAGGTTTCACCTCTTCTTCGCATATCTTTACCTCTGAGTGGGTTATCCTGGTATCCTGTGGGCTCTATATAGCTCTATATATATAGTATATAGCTGCTGCTGCTGCTGCGACACACTTCCGGACTTTTGCACTTGGGAACACAAAAAAAACTAAAGCACTCCGTGTAAAAAAAAAAAAAAATGAGATATATATAGATGGATTTGAACTTGGCTTGGCTTGGCGCGCGTTATGGATTTTCCGCTTGGCCAGGAAATGCTGTGCTGCTGCTCTTTATAAGACTGAACTCAACGCTCGGGGACGCGGAACTCGACTGCGCGGACTTGGAGCCACCAGGCCAGAGTTATGGGCGATTCCACGGGCTGCAACTGCCGACCGCCAGCTGATCGAACCAACAACAGCAGCTTTCTTTTCTCTTCGCATCGCATCGCATCGAACGTGTTCGTGTCGGCAGTTGGTCGTTCGCAGGTGCTCCACCTGCTCCACACTCCACAGTACGCACTAGGCCAAGATCCAAAAGCTGTGGCCTGGCCCAAGACCCACCTAACGGTTGTGCGCCGATCTATGGGCACGTAGCACGTAGCTCGCAGCACGCTGCATGCAATTAACCCACGGCACAGAAAGAAAAACGCTGTTCGATCACCGATCACCGAACACCGATCACCGTCGGTTTCCTATTGACTCACTGTGCACAAACAAACCGAAAAATGGGGCAACTCTACAACGCTATAACTGGTTCAAAAGATATCAAATCAGGAAACGTTATAGCTCGGTGATCTTTGCTCGTTGAGCGCTATCTTCACCATCAAAAACTTCACTTTTAGAGATACTCCACTTTGAATTGGATATTTAATAAAAAAAAGGTTTGGGCTTTGAAATAGCTGGGTTTTGTTAACTTTTTTGAAAGCCTATTTTCAAAAAAATTTGAAATTTTCACAAAAATTGCAAAAAATCGGCTAAAAAATAAAATTTTAACTAATGATGGAGTTTGTTGGAGAATTAAAGTACAAGGTCACAGAGGTATCCCACTTCAAAATCGGAGATCAACTTAAAAAGTTATAGACCTAGGAATAATGAATTTTGGGTAAATTGCGACAAACCACATTTTCCGAAAATTAGGAAAGGGTCATAAAAATAGCAAAAACTCGAGTAAAAAATAAAATATAAACGAATGATGCAGTTTCTTAGAGAATTTAACAACAAACTTTTTGAGATATCCCTGTTCGGAATCGGATATCAATGAAAAAACGATGCAGTTTATTAAAAAACAACATCTTATAATCTGATTCAAATATCACTAGTTATAGAATCAGAAATACATATCTACAAAACATACACAGTCACTCTTCTTGATGAGCCAAGTGAAGTGCTCTTTCCTGAAACTGCTGGTGGATAGCAAAAGCAGTTTTCTTTGTCTGGGTTCGATATTCCCCGATGACTAATACTGCAGGGGACCCACCTTGAGTATATAAAAACCTTGAACTCAGCCAGGAGACAAAGAATGTCTTCCGACATCCTTGGACACTCCTTTTTTGTGAAGCCTACGTGATCGCACGTTTCTGCTGATCGCAACCTCTAGTGTTCTTTATGCCTTGTATAAAAAAGTACCTGAAGAAGTCATTCATATTCGTGATTATCATTAATCCATCAGCCTCTAGAACAACATATATAATATTGGTGACTAAGACAGAATTAGAACCACTTAAACTAGAATATGTTGTGTGAAATAGAAAGACTTCTGAATGTGAGTTTAGTAAAGCTTTCTACGGCAACAAACTCGAAACCATTCGATACCGAATAACTCGTTTTCCGTCTTATCCAATTTTTATGTAACTCTAAAACGAGCCGTGATTATTTGTCTAATCGATTGACATTTCAAGCTTCGGCTAATGAAGCACCCAAAAGACTTGCAGGAGGCACAAGAGAAAACAAACTATAATGCTTTGAAGATTATGCAAACAAGAAAGTTCGTATCCGAGTTGCTTATTTTGGTGACGGCTGTAAAACTGGGTTTCGTCTACGCTCTTGATAATCAATAGATATACTTCGGGTTACAGTTTACGAATAAAGGTGCATCGAATGCATAGCTTCGCACGGTTAGATTAGCGAATTGGGGAGGCACACAAATAAGTTATTAGACAGAACCGTTTAAGGGAATGTTTGAAAACATGTTTTAATAATTGATTTATCATTCACATATGTAGTTTTTGTATAAGTATGCATTTTCTATATAGTAGTTAACATATGGTGCTGATTTTCTTTTTCTTTCTCTACATTCAATTTGAACTGTTTTCGTTCCGTTCGATAATAATACATATGTACACAAACACGAAGCCCAGAAGGGACACTTTGGGTCCCCCGAATACAATACATATTATAGGTTATCTATGGGCCGCCAATTCTGACAATAATCGGAGAAGGAGCGAGGAGGGGCGGAATCGGAGAACTCTAGCTTTTGGTTTTGGGTCTGGGTCTGGGTCTGAACACTTGACAAAAAATTTGCCTGGACCGGCAATAATACTCGCAACAAAACTACATACAAACATACAGACACAGTATCATAATATAATATACATTAAACAATTGAATAACAAGGGTAGGGGGGACAAACAAAAAAAAAACGCATATCGAAAAAGGCAGGAAAAAAAAACATATAATATTATTTGTATGCCAAAATGGGTAGCGATGGGCTCTAGCACGCTTAGAAGATGGGTATGTAGTTGTCGATCTTGGCGCGGTGCTTCTGGGCGACGCACTCGGCGATCCAGACGATGTTGCGGCACTCCTGCTCCTTGAGCTTCAGATACGCGTAGAAGACTCCGAAGTGGAACTGCTGCAAGAAGGCGTACACGTTCAGCTTGACCTCGTGCTCGAAGAACTTGTCCTCCAGCGTCTTGTCGCCGGGATTGTTGCCGGATCCGTCGAACAAGGCGGCGTACTCCGCGTAATACTCGGCCACCGTCTTCACCTGCTCGTAGTCGTCGGCGCGAGCCAGAGCGGCCAGGCCGTCGGGGTACATCTTGCCGCAGTTGGGGTACAGCTTCGCGCGGTCGTCCTTGGACAGCTCCGTGCCGAAGGAGTTGATGGTGATGATGATGGCACGACGATCGGCCTCGAACTGCATTGGCAAAGGAAAACACATTGTTACTTAATAGTATATCATCATATAAATCATATTGCTGAGAATTTTAAGTACTATTGTGACCGGTTGTTATCTACTTAACAACTAACTTTGATGTTACATCTCAATCAAGCTTTGATGTATCAAAATATTTTAGAAAATTGTTGAAGACATTTTTAAGGAAACCTTAGTTATGCTCTCAAAGTATTATGAATTAACACCCTATTTTTCCCCTTCGAAATTTTAGCTAAGAATAAAGATTGGAAAACCACTTACAGCCAGGATCTCGCACATGACATCGGCGGTGGCACCACCCATGTTCTTGCAGAAGTTGTAGAACGCCTCCAGATATGCCTTGTAGAGCGTGTTGCGGATGATCTCGATGTTCATCTCGTCCAGATCCTGCTCAGAGATGCAGTCAACGAAGAAGGGCGCCAGGGGCGTGTCCACCAGCACGGCGTTGTACAGCTCGGCGGGCGTAGACGCCACATGGATGGCCTCCATCTGCTCGAAGCTGCCGAGCGGATGGCATTTGGGGATCAGCTCGGAGATTGGTCGCTGGTGCAGCGTGCCGGTGATCAGCAGGATGATGTTGTCGATCATGTAGCCGTAGGTGATGAAGTCCAGGAAGTTGGACAACGGCTCCACCGCGTGGTTGCGCATGTGCTGGAACTCGATGACCAGCTTCTCGCGCAACTTGTCGTCGATAACGGACACTGACAGAGGAGAGGGCTCGTTGGCCAGGAAGCTGCCATAGTCCGTTCCCTGCAGATGCAGCTTGAGATCTATAAAATCCAGAAAAACACAGGATTAGAAAATAACAATTGCAATGGAAAGTTTAAGCTACTTTTGGAGACCTGGAGCTGTGTAATTTGGGTGAGTTTGGCCAATTTTATATTATTTCAACAGATGTTTGCTAAGCGTAACTGTGAAAAACGACCAGGGAAAATCTAAGTGACTTCAAATCATGAATATAGTGACCTTCGGCAGCTATACATTAACTAAATCTGAACAAAAGTCCGTATTCTAAGATTACTTTAAGAAGAGAATATTGTCAGTGTGCGGAAATTAGGGTTCTTTTGACAAATATGTTAAAAATTATCAGTTGCAAGAGCACCTGCAGCCAGGTACCTGCAAAATCCAGCAAAATGAGTAAGAAGGAGCTGATAACCAGGGAGAACCCAGGTGGAAATTCAATTGAAAAACGTCAACAAATCACAAGACAAGCTTACACACACCGGCGCAGTGGGGCCGTAACAGCCGTGCATGTATACACACACGCACTTCTCTGTTATCGCTGGTCATGTGACCCAGGGGCGTGTGGGAAAATGGGGTTTACGGGGACCATGGGGCCTGGTACTCACCCTCCAGGGTCTCGCACTGCACCAGGTTCAGATAGTCGGCCTGCTTGAGGATGCCGCACTTGAAGCCGCGGCAGAGACCCTCCAGATATCCATTATCGATGTTGAACATAAATCCCGAGCTGTTCATCTTGATGACACACGCACACAAACACGCAGAGCTGGCTGGAAATTGGAAAAAAGGCGACGAATTCCACTGGCTGCTGGATTCAGAATTCCTTTTCAGTGGGCTGCTGCTCTCGCTCGACCGAAAGTTGCGCGAATTGTGTGGCGAAAGGTATGCAGTTCGAAACGGAACGGAGCAACGGTGAAAATTCAACCTTTTTTTTCTCTATCGATCGACAAGTCATATGATTTCCACCTCTTCCTCTTCTTGTTTTTTTCTTGACCAAACGTCAGCGCAAAAGGGGCTAAAAATAACCGAATGTCAGGTGACGTGCGCCTAACAGCACTCTGTTAAGTGGCCCGCTGGTCTGGCAACACTGTGGGAATTTGAATATTAATTTGAATTTTTCTTTCTAGTTGGTTGGTTTTTGTTAGTTGGTTGCTTTCAAAAATGTATGCAATTGACGCCTTAGAGGTTTTGTGTTGTCTAACATAACGAGCGCGTATTAAAATTAAAAGAAACTCAAAATAACAACAGCTCATAAAACAGCCCGCGTTTGCAAACGATCAATGTTATTTACAACCGAAAAGTCTTTATTTAATTATCTTTAAATTTTAAATATTTTTGGGTTGTTTAAAAACTGGTATAAGTTTATAACTTCAATACAGCATTTATAACACTGTTCGCGCCAAAGCGGCGCTTTCCAGTCCTTTTTTGAACCGCCCCTGGAGTCTTAACAGTCGTGAGAGCAGTTCTTCCAGATCGCTTGCATCTCGCTCTCTGGCACTGTTAAGGGTCAATGTCCGAACGAGCCTTATGAGGTGCGGAAATCAGAATTAGCTTCAAACGGATTTCTTGTAAAAGATGCTGATCGAGTATCACAAATTGCAACCCCTGCAAAAAGGAAGGAGATGCAGGGAGTTCCCATAACTCCCGAGATTCGCCACAATTACCAATTCCAGGTGCGACCATGTGCGACTGAATTTCAGGACCGCCTACTGGCTTTTCCGAGCAAGGAAACCGCCAACGAACTGAGGAGGAGCCTTTCCCAGTTAACCAGCCACTCACCAGAAAAAATTCAAACTTCACAAGATTCAGATGAGCGATATTCAAAGAACCCGGAGTGCCAGGAAACTCGCAACTTGGAGCTTACCAACCCAATGAATGATCGAGTATCACAAATTGCAACTGTAGCAAGCATCCCTATGTACATATACCAATTATTAAGCACTGCTTGATAAGCAGTTAACATTATTGTGTATCCCTTAAGTTAAGTCATCCTTTTTGTCCCCCTTACTCCTTTAAGAAACACCATGTAAACCCATCTATAAGTATGTACGTCTCTCTCTTGCACATACGAGATTGTCAAATAGGCTAAGCATTAAGAGAGATGATGAAATAAAGATCACTTTTGCTGCGACCACTGAAGAAACAAGACCCTGATTGTATCACTACAATTTCAGAATTGGGATTAGTGCGAAAATTTCTTTTTCTCGCACCTAAAACTCTGCCTACGAGTTTTAAAAGTTTATTTCAAAAGTAAAAGTTCGTAGAAAAATGGAAAATATTGGCGCAGACGACTACACAGCAGCTGAGCTACGATTTCTTGTAAAAGATGCTGATCGAGTATCACAAATTGCAACCCCTGCAAAAAGGAATGGGGAGCAGTTAAACTCAATCTCAAAAAAGTTTGAAGTCTTAAGCGTAGACTCTTTTGAGGGAGTTCCCATATTTATTGTAATATCATTTCACAAATAAATTTTTTCCTAACCTAACTGTTCAAACATGAACACGCATATATACAAATGTATATTTAGGTAGCGGAATTGTAGCCGCACCAAATGTATCACATGTGTGCATACCTAAAAACAACGAGATAAAAAGGTTGTAAAATGACCTCCTGCGAGTGGTCACCACATGTTCAGGGATAAGTACGATCGGAGTAATTGCTATCTCCTCTATCGCCCTTAAAGATAAGAATAGTTGTAAATCTCATGTTAGCTATTTAAGTAGAACATATTCTTAAATAAAATCAGTTTGAAATATCAACTCAACAAAGAAAGACGTATTTATTCGGACGTTCTTTCACTAACACTTTTTGTTCAGCAAAAAGTGCTGATCGAGTATCACAAATTGCAACCCCTGCAAAAAGGAATGGGGAGCAGTTAAACTCAATCTCAAAAAAGTTTGAAGTCTTAAGCGTAGACTCTTTTCACAAATAAATTTTTTCTTAACCTAACACTTTTTGTTCAGCAAAAAGTGCTGATCGAGTATCACAAATTGCAACCCTTGCAAAAAGGAATGGGGAGCAGTAAAACTCAATCTCAAAAAAGTTTGAAGTCTTAAGCGTAGACTCTTTTGAGGGAGTTCCCATATTTCTTGTAATATCATTTCACAAATAAATTTTTTCATTATAAATGTACGTGATGGGCTGCCCGTCGCACAGAGCACGGTATTTGGATGGGTCGTGTCTGGAGCATGCAGATACGCACTGTTAAGGGTCTCCAATCCGCTCTCCTAGCGGCTCTTAAAGTTTCCACCCCGTAGCTTTAAGTTCAGTTCTAATTTACAAGTGTAACCGACAAGTGAAATAAAGAGTGAAGTTTTATAACGTTCAATCGAAGTTTCGCCCGCGTTTTTATTCTACCCTAAATTTACAATTGAGAAGGAAGGAAGACCCGCCCCACAACTCAACAACACAATTTCTTATTGAAAGTATTCATATTCCTAAAAATGTTTAAAAAGATTTGTTTAAATGAATTGCGAGCAAACTATCTTTTCGTTTTGAAGACTCCTTTGAGTTTCAATCAGGGACTGTAACGGTTATAATTAAAAAAGCAAAAAATTACAAAATAAAAGTTATTTCTTAATTTTTACGTAAAAAAATTGATTTTTAATACTTAAAATTAATTTTAATAATTAAAAATTGGTAATAATTATTAAATATACATTTTTATATAAAAATTACGCAATAACTTTTATTTTGTAATTCTTATTATATAAATTGAAAAATAAAAATTATTCGATAACTTTTATTTTAAAAATTGAAAATAAAGATTGATCTTTTGATCCGTAGAAGCCAGATCCAATATATATGTATATATATGATCTACACATCAATACCTTTCAGATGGTATATAATAAGTATATATATATATATATTTTCCTCTTTTACGCTTCATCTTTCACAACTTAACTCTTGACTTCGACCGCTCTGTTCGGCTTCTCCTTCTGAAGTGTGTCCGCATCTCATTAAGCTTGACAACCTTAACATTAATACTAGAGCTGGAAAAACATCGATGTTCACCTACATCGATGTTTCGATGTTTTTCAGAAAAAAACATCGATGTATCGCGATACATCGAACTTTTTTAGCGTGTACTTAAAAATTTTTACTAATATCAAATATTAAAATAATATATTTAATATAAATATATATTAAAATAATATATTTATTTAATTTAAATAGGCACATAAGGGGATAAACATATATATATATATAAATATATATATACTTATTATATACCATCTGAAAGGTATTGATGTGTAGATCATATATATACATATATATTGGATCTGGCTTCTACGGATCAAAAGATATATAGATTCAATCTTTATTTTAAATTTTTAAAATAAAAGTTATCGAATAATTTTTATTTTTCAATTTATATAATAAAAATTACAAAATAAAAGTTATTGAAACTTTCAATCCCTCCGACTTGAATGAACACATTTTGTTAGCTTTTTTTCGTGTGAATATTTATTAAGTAAATACACATACTATTGGTTATTTTAGAAGCCCCTAGTATAGTTAGTCCCTTTTGAATCGGTTGAGATCCTGCCACGTCCGCTGCCTTTCGCGCCTCCTAGCCCTGATCCTTTCGGTGAGGGCCGCCACCTCGTCGTACGGCTTGTAGTAGTAGGCCACGAACATGAAGATCAGCATGTCGAAGAACATCAGGCCGGCGAACAGGAAGAACTCGCTGGCCTGCGACTCGAAGAACTTGAGCTCGGCAATTATGACGACAATTACGTTGCCGAAGGCCACCGTAAGAAGCCAGCAGGCCTGCAACACACTCTTCATGCTCGGCGGCGACTGGGAGTAGGAGAAGCCCAGTCCGGTCACGGAGAACATCACCTCGCCGAGGGTCATCACCACGTACTGCGGCACCAGCCAGAGCACGCTCATCGAGTTGGGGCTGGTGACCTCGATCAGTCGCGACACGAAGGCCCCCTGGCTCTGGCCCACTAGCAGGGCATAGACGCCGCCGGCCCGCAGCTCCAGCTGGGTGAGATTCTGGTCGGCCACCTGCACCCTGTACCCGCCGGTATTCAGCTCGTAGAGATCGTGGTTGCGGGCCGGCAGGTCCAGCGCCTTCGCGTCCCCGGATTCCTCGGTCCAAACCACTCGGGTGGTGGCCAGCAGGTTGGCCAGGTTACGCACGAAGGCCCACGAACGATTCGACTTCTGCACCTCGTCCTCGTACCAGTACTTTGCGATGGCGTGTGAGGGTCGCAGGAACAGCGAGTGGGCGGTGGCCTCGTACAGCTGCTGCGTTCCGCCCTCCAAAACGGTGCAACCTAAGGGGTTTCGACAATGGGAAACAGCTATCATAAAAACAACTAACTCTCAAGAACCCCAGCTCAATATACAGTATGTTATTTAATTCTGGTTAAAAGCGATCTACGACTTCATCCTTCCGTTGGTATGTTAGTTTTGATTCTGATGCAACAACTTACCCTCGGTCAGACTTTCGACGGAGTAGGTCAACTGGAAAGAGCCGTCGGTGCTCGTGGCCACACTACCCGAATAGAAGTAGTCCAGACCCTTCAGGGTGAAGCTCTCACGGGCTCCGAGATTCGTATTGAAGCGGTACTCGCAGTCGGGAATTCCGCTGAAGACCCGCAGTTGGGTGTTGCCAATACTCGGGATCAGGGGATAGGTGTTCTGAAAGAAACAGTCAGAGTCGGAACTCCCACATGAAGTTGTTAAGTTCGAGTGATACCCAAACTAGCATCTGGAATCCCTCAAAGGAGACCATCAAGCGTTACAGCACAGCTAGCAAAGTTCAGATAGAAAGACACATTTAGGAGCGACAAGAAGGAGCACGTAGTAAGAACGCACATGCAGTTATATCGGTAGTTTTCTTTTATTTGATTAACCAGACGGATGTCTTGTCATTTGCAACAACGCCCGGTCAGAGCTCACTTACACTTAGTTTGGGAATGGACAGAGGCCACTAAGGATTCACGTAAACAGATCTACAAATACATATAATACACAACGCACGAGCGAGCAGGACATCCTGCATCCTACATCCTCAATCCGGGATCCGGGATCCGGGATCCTACTCGTCGATGTCCTTGCCCTTGTTCTCGACCCCACCCTCGAGCGGCGGGATCTCGGACTTGGCGTCGCCCCCCGTCAGGGGCTGCGCCTCCTCGACCTTGTTGGGGTCGTTGGGCACGTAGTAGTAGGCCATCACCATGAAGAGCAGCATGTCGGCGAACATGAGGCCGGCGAAGAGGAAGAACTCGCTGGCCTGCGACTCGAACAGAGCCGCCTCGGCGATGATGACCACGATGACGTTGCCGAAGGCCACCGTCAGCAGCCAGCAGGCCTGCAGGACACTCTTCATGCTCGGCGGCGCCTGGGCGTAGGAGAACTCCAGTCCGGTCACGGAGAACATCACCTCGCCGAGGGTCATCACCACGTACTGCGGCACCAGCCAGAGGATGTTCATCGAGTTGGGCTCCGTGAGCACGAGCAACTCGGGCACATACTCCCCGCTGGCGTCGGTGGCGATCAGGAGCGTGTACACTCCGCCGGTGTGGACATCGAACGTTCCGATTGAGTTGTCGCCCACCAGGACATCGTACTCCCCGGAGTTCACGCGGGTGAGCAGCGTCTGGCTGGCCAACTCCTCGTAGGCCACCTCGCCCTTGGAGACACTGCGCCACTTGATCGACAGGCCCTGCGGCACGTTGGCCACGTTCCGGACCAGCGGGTAGCTCTCGCTCGGCTTGTCCACAAAGTCCTCCTCCCAGTAGTGAGTGGTGACGTTCTGCGGATTGAGGAACAGCGACCAGGCCGTCTTGTCCGTCAGCGTGTGCCTCTCCCCGGCGACGTTTATCGAGCAGGCCGCGTCCGTGCTGGTCAGGCTGTACTGGAGGTCAAAGGAGCCGGACACGTAGACCTCCTTGTTGGTGAACACACCCAGCGCGGGCACCGCCACGCTTTGCAGACCCTCCAGGTTGGAGGTGAAGGTGTAGGGGCAGTTCGCCGGGTTGAAGATGCGCACCTGGACGTTCTGGCTGTAGGGCAGGTCGGGATAGGTTTTCTAGCGACAGCAAGCGACGTGCAACGAGAAGGAAGGAGAAGTGGAGAGTGCAGGTGAAGTACGGAACGAGCGAGCACGGAACACTACACTACAGTATATATACAAGGAGGAAGCTGGGAAGCAGGGCGAACTTCAGAGTGAAGTTACCAATGCCCTCGAAGGACCACTCACCTCCAGGTTCAGCTCCACCACACCGGAAATGATGAAGGCGATGCCGGCCAGGATGCCGCCCATGGTGAGCTTCTGCAGCGGACGGCGGATGCCGACGAGCCGCAGAACGGGATAGAATGCCACATCGTAGAGCGGGATGAAGAGCAGGATGAGCAGCGGATTGAGCACCTGGAGCTGGTCGGGCTTGATGTTCCACGAGCCCATGTCGCCGTCCATCCGGGTGGCCTGGAAGGTCCATCGCGATCCCTGCTGGTCGAACAGTGCCCAGAAGACGGGGAGCGGCAGGTAGAGGAAGAGCACCCGCATCAGGACCTTCACGTCGTCGATCAGCTGGCGGTCGTACTTGGCGTCGGCGTAGTCCAGCCAGTGCTCCCGCGGATTGGTCTTCTTCTCCTTGCACTTGGTCGTCAGGGCCGTCCAGATGGTGCTGCTCACCAGGACCACCATGTTGCCCGCCGGCGGCTTCATCTTGTAGAGGGATCGGCCCAGAACAAAGACGATCACCGAGATGATCATCAGGATGGCGGGCACGCCGAAGGCCAGCGGATAGCAGTTGATGTCGTCGAAGCAGGAGACATCCTCGCGCAGGATCGGGGTCACCGTGGTCGAGATCAGCGAGCCGGCGTTGATCGAGAAGTAGAAGAGCGAGAAGAACGAGGTGATCTGCTTAACCTGCTCCGGCACCTTGAACTGATCGCCGCCGAAGGCCGACACGCACGGCTTAATGCCACCCGATCCGAGGGCGATGAGCGCCAGTCCCAGCATCGTGAACGTCTCGATGGGCAGGTTGAGTGGTCCGATGGCTCCGAGGGTCAGCAGCACCGAGCCACATATGTACACCATTGACAGGTACAGGATCGTCTTGAATTTGCCCAGCCAGGAGTCCGAAATGATGGCGCCGAAGACGCACAGGAAGTACACGAACATGGTGAAGATGTGGAAGACCACGGTGGCGGTGTCGTCGGAGTAGCCCAGCACTCGGCTCAGATACAGGACCAAAACAGCTGCAAGGACACAATAGGTTTACTGGGTGAAGGACAGAAAGTGCAGGGAGACCCAGAGATCTACACACTTCTCATTCCGTAGTAGTTGAAGCGCTCGCAGAACTCGTTGCTGATGATGAAGAATACGGCTTTGGGGTAGGGAAGTTTCTAAATCAAGATAAAACGTTTCCTGATTAGTTTCGAGATGCGAATGGAGTGGAGTGAAGTGGTTACCTTCTGCTGGCCCTCGGCCTCGGATACGTTCTTGAAGTCGCTGACCTCCTGCAGCTCCTTGCCATTCTGCTCCGGCTCCTTGCCGTTCTTCAGGGGTTCCGCGGGGACGGGCAGCTTCCTGTCCTCCACCAGCGCCTTGCCATTGCTCTCGGCGGCGGGTTGGCTTTCCTCGAAGACCGCAGACGTCGGCGTAACATCTTCTACGGGCGCAGCAGTCGGGGTAGGCTCTTCTACTGGCACAGCAATCGGGGTGGAGTCTTCTACAACCGAAGGCTTCGGCGAGGAATCCGCAGGAGCGATCTCCGCCGATGGAGAAGGCGCAGGCTCGGCCACGGGTTCAGCCGCGGGCTGTATTTCTGCGGAGGAGAAAGGAGTCCGGTTGAGAAATCAGTGCGATAGGGTTTCGAACTGCGAAAGGCCCACCCAAGAGGGGTACTTGCTCCGCCGGGCGTTCCATCTCGTCTGCCTGGAAAGAGGCGCGGATGATCTGCTATTTGATCTGCTAGATGAGCGACATTTCATCAGAACAGGTAAACCGAACCCGCGACCGAAACCGAAACCCAAAACGAGAACGAGAACGAGAGATGTGGCCTTGTGCTTGACACCTCCCTCGCAGATAAGGACTGCTCTATATTTGGCCAGGCCTTTACTTCATCGGCGGGCGTGTGAATTCCGTTGGCCCCCGCATAAATTATCGAGCATTAGCCGTCGAGCGGCCGGGTTTACATACGTGGATTACGGCACTGCCAGACTGCCAGATAGCCCGGCCAGAAAAGAGGAGAGGAGCGCTCTCTCGGGGATCGGCCAAGTATCTGAGAGCAAGGCTTTCCACTCCATAAATCTCAGGCTGATTGCCCGCGATGCTGCGACTGAATGTCTGGCGCGGCTTAAATGGTCATGTCCATGCGGACTGAATGGTAATTGCAGTCGGGGATCGGTGATCGAGGTGCAGTCATGGCCATGGCCATCTTTATTCGGACAACTGGTTCAGGAAGTGGTCGGGTGGTTAGGGAAAGTCCCTAAGGCAACGGGCCTTGTGAATTGGCCATGCCAGAATGACAGAATCGGTTGGGGCTAATCCATCGATGCCTTATCAGCGTTTATGGCCACAATTCGAGGCAGCAATGAAGCCAGCAAGCACACGGGACCATAAAGCGCGGAAACATCGCTATTGCACGCGCAGCACTCCACATCAAACGTCCATTAACTTAAAGCGCCTTATCGCCGGGAACCCAGGCAAATGCGTAAACGAGACGTGTACAGCATTGACCCGCTTCGGTGGCCGCTTGTAGTCGTGAGTTTGGCAGTTTGGCAGTCCCTCGATCCGATCCACTCATTCATTCATGCCCAGTCGGCATTTGCACAGTACACATAGGAGTATATAGAGTGTGGTGATCTATGTCAGTGTCACGGGTGATGGATTCAAACAGGAGTGCTCTTCGATACGATAGCTTGATGGCGGGGACCGAACAATCGGCATCGCTGATACGCCGGAATTTACAAGGTACATAAGTACAAAACAAATACATACTATACGAGGGCTTTTTCTATAAATAATAAGATAAGCCTGGAGTGCCCGAGTGCAGTTGCGTTGTGAAAGTGTTCTCAATTTCAGTTTCACTTTCCCAAGATTTCTTTTTTCGAAAAGCTCTTAGGGAGATGAAGAAGTAGATTGATGGTTAAGCAGATTGATAGGCACTTCGATTGTTACAACTTAAAGGGAAAATTGACATGCGACAAATGGAAGTATAGAGCTTAAAAGTAATATTTTAGTTGGTAATTGAGTGGGTTCGAATCTCTTATGTCTTGAAACCATAGATGGGTATAGATAGGGGATAAAAATCAACGATTTAAATGTATTAATAAATACCATGATTTTCTAATTTGTGTAAAGTATCCAGCAAATTCGTACGTGTTGCTATAAAACGCGCTAAATGACATTGCAGATATGTAGTTCGCTTCATGATTGCCCATCGGATCGGTCGTAAATTTAGCACCGACCCGAAAACGTAATCGCCATATAGAGCAGGTAAAACCGAGAGCCTATCCACCTGCTCCATCTGATTTACGAGCGATTAGATGCGGTGCAATGATAGCTGGCTGAGAAGGCGGTTTTAATTACAAATGTTTTTGGCTGATGGAGGAACCGAGGTACCAACTGAGGCAAAGACAGAATTATTCAACCGAAGTTGTCAGCCAGTGCAAGTGGCAGATAAGTGCCGTGTATTCGGTAGTGCGCAGACTTTGATTGTCTTGTTCCGTTCGGAGTGGCAATTATGTTACCGATATCGTCGCCGCCCCATCCATCCATTTTGGCCAAGTTCTGTCCCGAAAGCGAGCAGCCAGCAAATAGCAGAATAACAAATTCAAAACACCAAATACCAGGCAAATTACTCACTAATTGCCAGCACTTGCACTGAGCACAGGCATTCCCAGCGATTGTTCGTTCGCTTGGGGAATAACAAAATAAAAGTCGCATTCGCATTCGCAACCGCAGTCAGAGTTTAAGTCACCCGCAATGGCAAGTTGCCTATGAGTATGCAAATGAGACCGGGTCTCTGACATTGAAATGCAGGCCCACAATTATACAAAATAGAAAACAGAGAATACATGTTGGCATAGAGTAGGCAAGGCGAGATTTTATATAGGCAAGGTCTGTCCGTGCCAATTGACCAAGTTTGGGAGTTCTTTTTTTTGTTTTGGGGACCGGCAAAACGAAGTCCGTGGATCCGTATTTGGGCCTGGCTGCGACGGAGTCGCTCAAGTGGCTGAAACGCAGGGCGATGTCGATATTTTTCTACCACTCGAAGTGCCTTATCGGAGCGATTAGATTTGCGGCCTGCACACGCTGCCAAGAGAATCGAGGAGCGAGAGCCGAGCGTTCTGAGAATCATTCCTCCTTCTGTCACTAATGCCAATAAGTGTCCCCAGATATTTCGCTAATCTTTACAGCTCGAACTCGTTACCCAACGGCCCACATTGAAGACGGGGGGCAAAAGCAGAAGGGCTGGAAAGGAAAGGCCAGCCATAAATTGAACAAAGTGCTTCCTCACTTTCAGAACGAGCGCAATCTATGAAAAAAGGGGAATTTCTGCAGTTTAGCCAACTGTATTAGAACGGAGCTATGACTCAGATCCTGAGCTCATGATTCCTAACTGATAACAGATGTACTCATCTGATTCAGAATCCTGTAATCCCGGTTTAAGCCACCATAAAAGATAGTAAGTGTTACTTCAAAATATGGGTCTATAACCTCGGTTCAGTGGTCTGTATAATTACCAACCCGCTGGAAAAACTATAATTATGCATTTGGGTTTTTGTGATTAGCATTACCATTTTCCTTATCCGTCATGTTGGAATCGCTTTACATCCGTTACGCGTCACTTGAAATCGAAGAGAAATATGTCGTTTATTTTAAAATCGTTACGTTATAAATGTATAATATGTAGGACGGGTTGCATAAAAGCAAGCTTTCTTTTTGAATTGCAAAAAATAAGTACTGTAGCTTTTTCATTGAGAAACAAAAGATGAAACAAAAAGAAAGATCAATAATCTTCGCTTGGGGTTCAATAAGCCCTACACTTGCAATATGAGAAATATATATTTACGATCTCAATTAAGTTGTAATTTATTTACTTTGAAAGTAGATATAAACTGAGAACTTGGACTACCATTAATTAATTGCACATAAAATATTCTTGTAAATTGCAACCACTTACAAAAATATTACAATCTATAAATTTTAAATAAAAATATCTAAAATTTTGTATGGTTATAATTTAACTTTGAACTTAGCTCTTACTGAACCCAATTTTTTGTTCGAAGTTATAATTTATTTCAACTTGTTTACTGTTCTTGTGATTTTCATTGTCTGTTTTCGGAATCTCCGGGGAAGTTTTATGAGCACACGTTGTAATTGCCTTCGTTGTTGGCGCACTCGGAACTCACATTATATCATTTAACAACTGCAAAAAAATATACAGAACGCGAGTCGGATCGAACTGGGTAGTCGGATCGACAGATCGGTTTTGGAGCGGTTTTGAATCGGGTAATGCGCGACCAAGTCCGCCGGCGGCGATCAACAGCCTCAGACTGAAGTCGAGTGGCCACGAGCTTGGCTAAGAAGCCGTTAACGGTTTCACGGCGCTGCTCAGCTCTGCTCTGCCCGCTGCGACTGCGCGCGTGCTCTGCCTCTGCCGCTGCCGCTGCCTCTGTCGCAGTCACAGTCGACGCCGCTGGCAGCGTCGGAGGATGACAACAAAAAGCGTTAAAACTGGGCGATAAGCCTAATCGCAGTGTTATCGACAGGCAAGCGGAATTATTTACGGCCCGGTGTTCGCCTACCCACAATGAATGAAGTTCTGCTCGCTCTCGCGCTGGTTATTTATGATCCGCTGGCCACAAGCTCCCCACCCCCATAGTTATAGCCCCCCTCCCCCCGACACCTGTCAATTCCAGATCAGCGTCCATCACAATTGCTTTCGCCAACTGCTTTTTTTTAGGGCTGTGTGCTTATCGCACCTGCCACGCCCCGTCTGACATCAGCCGGTGGGCGGTGGCAGTGCAGATTGCGCCCAGTCATTAACCAAATATTTTGCGACGTCCCATGGTTTATCTCTGGGCATTACTTGCAGATCTGTGGGCTGGGAGCTTCCCCCTTCCAACGGCCATAAGTTATGAATCGAAGAGCAGGCTGGTATACTATACGCTCCGAAGATAGACAGCTAGTACGTCTGCACGCTGATAGTGCTTCAAAAAATAGAGAAGATAGTGCAACTGGAAATTTGGAGGTTAAAAAAGACAGATTTATATCACTCTGGGTAAATAATAATAGCAAAAGATTATAGCTGATACATTTGATTCAACAAGTAGAACTCATGACTGGCAATACGATCTAAATGACTTTCCTTTTTTACACTTTTCCCTGCGTAAATAACTCCTTTAAAGGCCCAAGTGACTGTCATTATTTTTGCGTTACCATAAATTAAATTAAGCCCTTCAGTTGATAACACTTCGAGTGCCATTGGAAATGAGTTAAGTAGTGTGATGCCAATTGCCTAGATTAGTGATAGGTTCGTATCAATGGGTTATCATAAGGGTGGACATGTCTTTAAAGACTTAAAGAATTATAGGAATTACAGGCCCATTTTCAATGTGATAACCCTTTAAAGGATAAACCCTTTAACCCTTGAATTAAAATGGGATTCTGCGACACGTGGAGATCCTTCACCCTGATTGGTATTGCCGACCTACTTTCTCTGAAACCCTTATAGAGCTTATAGAGCTCATTTGGGCTCTCCACCAGTTGATTGGCATCTAATCGGCATGTTCGCAAACTTGTCGCGTTTTTGTTTTATGAACTTAATCGCTGTTCGATAGCTGCGAATAGTATTTATGACCGCCTATCATTATAGCCATGCCCAGAAACAAGTATAAACATCTATTGGCCATAGTCGATTGCCGATTCCCGATAGCCGCCGACAGCGCTATTGTTATTGTTATTGCTATTGCTAGTGTTATTGTTATTGTTTTTGTTATTGTTTTTGCTTTTGCTAACCATTATTGCTCAACGAGGGGCCCTGACTGTGCGACAAGTGAACTTTTTGTTTTGCTTCTTGCGTTCGGTTTTACGATTGTAATTTCGCTCAAGATTGCATGGTGTCTAGTCTGTATAATGCGAGCTATGCGATCGGATCGATTGAGCAACACTTAATTAAAGCCATCAAAACGGTGTCTGTGTGTCGATCGGGTGGCTTGCGTGTCGTGCGCTCTTTCCCCCAGATAACCCAGATACCCATAGGCATCCCAGGCATTGCAGATCTGCGGGGAATCTGGGTGAAGAAACCCATGACTGATCCTGGGGATCAGCCTTTGGCCTTATCAATCTGATAGGCGATAGGCTCCATCCGATTAGAGCCCACCTACCATTAATCAATGGCCCAATCTCACGAGCTTGCCGAATCGCACTTTGTGCCGATTAAGTAACCTGGCCATAAACACGAAGCCACACCGAGATAAGGATGTTGCCGTGTCCTTGCCTCAGATAGGTAGATACCCCGTCATCGATCCACTTCGTGGGGCAGTGTCTCAAGGGGTTTCCGATAAGGCCACTCGTGGAGCCCTCAGGTCGAAGGCCCACTTCTGCCATATCGATGCTGATAGCTGGTAAACTGTTTGCCCAATTGATTGCACTTGCATACCGATATGAAGGCTTCACGTGAACTCGTTGAGTGGTTGTCTTTTTAATATGTTTTTATTTTGTTTGCAAAGGCTTCACTCTTTGCTTTTCCTTTTTCCCCTCTGACTTACTAATCAGAATTTTATTAATACTTCAATCATGTATTACAGGCATCGAAATTCAGAGCATTCCGGCAGTAGCAGCTCCCTCTGCAGCTCAAGTTCCGATCTGAGTCGCCTGATAGCCGGCTCCGAATTCACCAGAAGTGAGTTTTACCTCAACAAATGTTTGGTGACTTCAACGATTCCTACAGTTCATCGGGGTAAACGCAGTCGAAGAAACCAAAGTCCTGCACAGCATGTCCACTATGAGCTAGAAAATTTGGATGATGAAGAGGAGGTAAGCCCAAGAAATTTGTAGAGAATTAAAAACCATTTAGACATATACTCTGTACATTCTTCCTGGAGCGCCGAACTTAATGACACAGACGGCGTTCCGCAGTCCAATATTCTCATGAAAAACCTCAGTAATCTCTCTGCGAAACAATTGCTAGTAGGGGTTGTAAATCTTTACAGCCAGATAGATTTATGGCCGCCTGGGAAAGTCCACAAATTACTCAAAGCCGTAAAGAAAGCAAACATAGATAACAGCCACTTGGCACACGGCTGGGGTCCGATCGCCAGATAGGAATAGGAATAGGATCGAAAGGAGATAACTTCGATCGACCTATCAGCTCGATAGCTTAGCCTGAAAAAGGAGACAGGTAGAAACCATAATGCACAAAGCAAACAAGATGGTTTGTTCAAGATATCGTCAAATAAGCCCAAAAAATAATTATCTGAGTGTAGATATAGAGATAGAGATGTTTTAACAATGCGTAAAACATAATATAAACATACATAACATAAGTTAAACATATGTATATCGTTCATGTAAAAAGTATCTAAAATTTGTTGGTTCAAAAATCGGTATTTTAGCCATATTAAAAATCACGTGACCCTACCCCTTACCAAAAATGTAAAAATGGCTGATTGTAATTTTTCACCAAAAAAAACCCAGTTTTTAAGCCATTACAAGTGAAATATTGGGCGGATTATGGAATGTCATAAATCGTTAGACTCGTAATAAGTTGTAAGTTTAGGTTGTTAGCTGCGTAAAAACAAGGAAAAGTTAAACCAACGGCTCAGATAAAACTAGAATTTTGAAACCAGCTTTTCTGTAACATGGCAAGGGGTATCATATATTGTTTTGAAAGATACACCAGTTCTTGCAAACCAAACCAGAACCTTGCAGTAAGATAAGAGGAACACAAACAGCTGTTCCCACACCCAGTGGACTTTATCCATTCAATAGGGGACTCCTAGCTGCAGTGATAATGCTAATCGGTGACATATCCACTTACTGTGCTGAACTGCAGCAGCAGAGGCGTCGGCAGAGGCAGAACGAAAGAGTCGCGTCGTCGTTTCAACAGCATTGAACTTGACTGGCAAGAGCTTTTCACTAAAGAGAGGAGGAGGTGGGAACACCCCCATAAATATAAACTCGCCGCTGCAGCTGCATTGATCTCTGGAAAAGAAAGAGCGGGAGGGGGGCTTGGAACTACACAAGAAAAAACCTATGTTGTCGCAGATAAATTTCATGTTGGAGAGAGTTCTTTAGAATAGTAGAATCCGTTGCGGTTTACATACATATCTCAGTTAAACAATCATGTAAATGAAAAAGTAATTTTTATACAACCGAAACCAAAGGTTTCATTTTATTTGAGTGTGGAGAGCACCGCTTAGAGCAAGAGCAAAGCTTGGCACGCTCTCTTACATCCCCTTTCTTCCCCTCCACCGTAACCACCTGTTTATCTAAAAATTTAATTTGATTTTGTTCTTGTTTTTTTTTTTTGTGTTGGTTTCTCGACCGCGCTGCCTCTGCCGCTTGCGACTGCGAGTCAAGCTTAAAAGCGCAGCTTGCAAATGGGCAGAGCATCATTTATCGTCGGCCAGCGACGTCGATCGTTTTGTGGCGTTAACGTAGCCCTCAACTTCCCACCACCTGTCGCCCCTTCCACCTGTGCTTTACACTTTTTACCTTTTGTGTTTTTATTTTTTGGCAATCAGTGCAAAAAACCTTTTGTCAAAACGTGTGCGTGTGTTTTCTGTTTCTGTCGCTGCTTCTCCGATTTTCGGGGTACTTTGATAAAATTCCAAAGTGCCCAGCAACTCGGGGACAAATTTGTGCTCTCATTAAGTCGCGTAATTAAAAGGTGACCAAAGCCAAAATGGTAAAGGAAATAACTAACGGTAAAGATGGACAGAAAGGGAAGCCCGAAGATTCCCAAAATTCGGTAAGTGGCAAAAGAGGGTTAGGGCTCTTAAAGAACGGTAAACGCAATGCCGAATAAGGCAGGCGAATAAGAAAAACTCAGTTGTAAAGGAAATAAGATAGTACACAGAAAAAAAGGATGCCGTAGTATACAGGTATTTGCAACATTAGATCAGGTAAAAAATAAACAAATTAAAATATTGGAAAGCCTTTAACTACAATTTTTTTTTAATTTCGTAAATATAATACTGACCGAATCCAATATTCTTCCGGTGAGAGAAGAGAAGAGATCGGAAAACATCTACTTATCACTTTCAGTTGTCAATTGAGAAAGTACAGTGTCCACAAAGGCCCTCAATTTAGTGTACCTAGAGTGCTTGCAGTGTAAGCTCAACAAAAAAGAAAACAAGAAAAAGCAAAAGCGAAAGATGAAGCTGCGAACCCACAAAGTTCCAATGACTTTTCTTCTTTCTTCTTTCTCCGCTTCTTGTTCGTTATTTTTTCTGCCCACCAAGGCTATTGATCGCAGTCGCAGCGCAGGCGACCTTGAACGCCCCCCAACAATCGAGAAATGTGTGTCAACCAAATCGAGATCCTTTTATCACACGCAAATTGATTTAATTAATTGCCAAATGTCAGAATCAAAACAAGAGTCGAAGAGGTTTAACAACCATTAAAGGGTCTTTTCTAAATAAAAATAAAGTAAAAATATTGCACTCCAGTTACTCTGCATAAAAATCAATAGGCTTGTTCACGTTTATTAAAATTCATTTAAAAATTTAATTTTTGATATTGTACAAATCTCATCATCTGTCAACCAGAACGTTAACCCTCTATTCATCAAACATAATTATATATTTAATACACTAATTTGGTAATTACTAATTTGCCGCATGAAACTCACAGTATAAATGAAATTAATAAGTTTAATAGTTGGGTTTTAATGAATAATTCAGTTAAAAAGTAGCAAATATTTCCGCCGTTAGTTTTTTTTTAAAAATATTTTAAAAAACCATTCCTTGTAATTCTCGGTTCAAGAATATACTCCTGGCTCTAAGGGGTAAGATTGATATTGACCCACTTTTCTCGAACGTATTTACCCCCAACTTTGTGCTTGCCTCCTTCGTACTTCTTATCCGAAGTTCCCGGAGACTGGGTCTAGACGAGCCCGAGACTGTTAGCCACAGCTTTAATCTCGCCGAGCCTCCCCCAATCCCCCTCAGTCGCAGCCCCTCCACTCTCCGCCGATCCACTATTGTTTGTTAATTTATTTGCCTACGCTTAACAACTGTTACTGCCGCCAAAGGGGGCGGGCGAGGGGCGGAAGAAAGGGCGCGAAGAAAGACGGGTGGCAAATCGAACTTTTAAAGCTCGGCGCCAGCGCCGGAGAATTCTTAGTTGGATACCGAACGTTGTCTCCGGCAGTCGAGCTACAGATCTGCTAGGGGTCCAATTAAAGTGGAGTTGTACATTGAAGTCTTGGCCAGATTCGAAGTTTGAGCCAAAATCAAAAAGTCTTACTAAGGCGAGCGTTACGTAAAGCTTGTTATGGCATTTGTCGGCGATGCAGTTGGCCAGCAGAATTGCAAATCAGCAACGGTGAGTCTTCTAGAGAGTGCGGAGCCAGGGGAGTAACGAGGGGGGAGCGAGGTAACCTAGGCCGTGGTGCGTGCAGAATTCCCAATCATCAATGGATCACCTGCCCGCTGACAGATGGAGATACGAGTACTGATCGCAAGCTTCGGCCGGAGAAAACCCGTTTGCATTCCGTTGCTCACCTTGGCCAAGAGACGCTGCAAATCAAAACAAAAAAATAGAAATACTTTTAGCCAAGCCAAACAAAACAGACGCCACGAATCACAACAAAATCGAAAGCCAAAACGAAACGAGACGCTGTGACGACAAAAAGCGGCATTACCATGAGAATAAGTATAGAGAAGCCAGAAAGATAAGGGGTATCTCACTAGCCGCACCCTCAAATACTCTAGCTCAAAATGATCTCATCCAAGAGTTTCAAAGATTTCCCCTAAATCAATTAAGCGTCTTGTAAAAGTTTCCCCAGAGTAATGATGATTGAACAAAAGTCTCATACAAGTTTGAAATCCCCTCGTAAAGTATTCCCTTACACCCAAAGATAAGTGAAACATTGTTGATTTTTTCATATAATATATTCCATTAAATCACAGCATTTAATAACGTACAAGGTTTAACAATACCCTAACAATACCCTTAAACCTATTCATATACGTTCTATTGTTGTTCTAGAAGGGAATTGTCGCCTATTACTTTGGGGCCATTATAAGCAGATTAAGAGTTACAAGCTTTAAAAGAGTTCACACAAAAGACTTGATTTACAACTCTGTCCTTTGTCGAAATGTATTGAAGTAAACTAGAAACTAATTCAAGTATTGAAACAAAGATAAGTGGCACTAACTAGAAAGTTTTGACTGCTCTTCGTCTGAAAGAACGATGGAATTTCCGATGAACCCAATGTGCACCTAAGACTAAAAATCTGTTTTACGTAGTACCACTTTTGGCTGGTCAGCGAATGAGTCGACACATTCTGGGCGGTATTCGATAAAGAAAGGCACGGAGATAGGGATCTGATAAAGAAAATGCGTGCAATTAGATCGAGATTACTCAGTGACTCCGTTCTCTTCCCTTCTAGGCGCCCATTCCGTATCCCAAGTCGGTGGGCTTCATCATCAGCAATGAGTTCTGCGAGCGCTTCAACTTCTATGGCATGCGCAGTAAGTTCCAAGTACGAGTAAGTTTCCCAGAAACCCCCCTCTAATGAATCTAAATTCGCTGTCCAGCCATTCTGGTGCTCTACCTCACGAACAAGCTGGGCTACAACGAGGAGACCTCGACGGTGCTCTTCCACACCTTCACCATGCTGGTCTACATCTGCCCGCTGATCGGAGCCCTGGTCGCCGATGGCTGGCTGGGGAAGTACAAGACGATTCTGTACCTGTCGCTGGTCTACAGCTTGGGCGCCATGGTGGTGTCCTTCGGAGCCGTTCCCCTGCCAGGGATGCCCACCAAGTGAGTAACTAACTCTATTCTAATAAGTACTGAAGAGTATTTGTATTTTAACACATCGTATCCTTAGAGCGGTGACCGTTGTGGGACTCCTGCTGATTGCGATCGGAACCGGCGGGATAAAGCCCTGTGTCGCGGCCTTCGGCGGCGATCAGTTCACACTGCCCGCCCAGAGTCTCCAGCTGGCCAAGTTCTTCTCGCTGTTCTACTTCGCCATCAACGCCGGATCCCTGATCTCGACCACGTGCACCCCGATCCTGCGGGCCGATGTGCACTGCTTCGGCGACCAGGACTGCTTCTCGCTGGCCTTCGGAGTGCCGGCCGTCCTGATGGTCATCTCGGTGGTGATCTTCATGGCCGGCAGGAGGCTGTACAGATGCCAGCCGCCCGCCGGCAACATGATATTCGGAGTGTCGCGCTGCATCGCGGACGCGTTCAAGGGATGGCAGAAGCGCAGGCACTCGGAGCCGGCGGAGAGCTTCCTGGACTACGCCAAGCCGACGGTGGGCGCCCGGATGGTCAGGGAGACCAAGTGCCTGGGCCGGATCCTGCGCCTCTTCCTGCCCTTCCCCGTCTTCTGGGCCCTCTTCGACCAGCAGGGATCGCGCTGGACCTTCCAGGCCACGCGGATGGACGGCCGGGTGCTGGGCCTCCAGATCAAGCCCGACCAGATGCAGGTGATCAACCCGCTGCTCATCCTCGGCTTCCTGCCGCTCTTCGACTACATCGTCTACCCGCTGCTGCGCCGCGTGGGCATCCGGCGACCCCTGCAGAAGCTGGCCATCGGCCTCCTGTTGGCCGCCCTGGGATTCTTCTTCTCCGCCGCGCTCGAGATGAAAATGGAGCAGGCCGCCTACCAAGCCCTGCCCACGGAGCCGGAAATGGCCCATCTGCGGATATACAACGGCATGCCCTGCCGCTACGAGTTCTCCAGCGAGGTGGCTGAGAAGACGGGCTTCCTTGAGCCGCTCAAGATGTGGACTGACCTCTCGGTTTCCGTGCCCACGGCCAAGGAGTACGCGTTCAGGGCCCAACCCGTTTCGGGAGTGTGTCCCGCCGTCGAAGGCAAGCTGCGCCTGCAGCCGGGCCGGTCCGTGGGCTACTTTCTGGCGCAGGAGAAGCTGCTCGAGTTCGCCGACGGACTGCAGATGGCGCCGAGCGACAGTGGGCCCACGCTGGTGCGGGCCTTGCTGAATACGCCGGAGGGCGAGGGCCCCGTTCGGCTGACCAGCCGATCGGCAGCTGGCAGCCAGGCGGCACCGCTCTCCCTGGACAGCCGGAATGTGTCGCAGCTGCACAGGATCCCAGCCGGCTCCTTCGAGGTGGACATCAACGGCAAGAAGGTGGCCGACTTCGAGGCCAGGGGCGGCGCTCTCTACAGCCTGCTGGTGGCGGGGAACGCCCTCGACGGCTACCAGTACAACCTGCTCGAGGTGGTGAGCCCCAGTGCCGTGTCCATTCTGTGGCAGCTGCCCCAGATCGTCATGATGACCGCCGCGGAGGTGATGTTCTCGGTGACCGGCCTGGAGTTCTCCTACTCGCAGTCGCCGCCCAGCATGAAGAGCGTCCTGCAGGCCTGCTGGCTGCTCGCGGTGGCCATTGGCAATTTCATTGTGGTGGTGATCGCCGAGTTCAGGCTCACCACCTCGCAGTCCGGCGAGTTCAGCCTGTTCGCCACGCTCATGCTGGTGGACATGCTCATCTTCATGTGGCTGACCCGCAGCTACCAGTACAAGGATCAGGCCGAGGACCGCGACGAGGACGAGGACGACGACGCCATCGAGGATGTGGTGCAGTCGAAGCCCCGGCCGGTGGAGGCTCCCCAGCGGAGAACCGCGGGACTGGAGGAGCCGGGCCACGGGGCCTATCGCAATCACGCCTACGACAACGATTTCTCGGAGGCCTAAGGGCTCGTACTTAAATCTCAAATATCGAATCCCACATCCCCTCATCATCGCAATCGCATTTAGTTATAGTTAACTCTTGTATTTATTTTATTCGTTCGCATTTATTCGTTTAGTCGGCTGTAATCCGTTCGTTGAACGACGAGTATTCTGTATATGCATTTTTTTACCCGATTGTCTTGTAAATACATTTTATACGTTTTATTGTAGATGGCGTTTATGTTTTGAATCGCGTTTAATGGATTTTCTAAGACGGTTTGAGAGGAAAAAGAGTAGTTAATGCACAATCGGAAAAGTAGTAATTTGAATTGTGAGTAACATTTTATTCTTATGTTAAACAGCCCCTGTTATTTAGGGTTAACAGAAACGGTGTTGCCAGGCCGCCGAGAAAAGATACAGTGGTGGGCGTCTGTAGTGCCAAGCACGTATCTTTGAGAACATTTACCTACGTTGTTAAAAATTAAAAAACCAGCATAATGAAAAGTGATTAGTGAAACTCGGTTTTTTAAAATAATTGATGGTCATGTTGGCAAGCCAAGCTTCGAACAATTTCAGTTATTTCTAATACGACTGCTTTAGTCGTGAAAAGCGTGCTGATATTGAACGGGGCGTAGTTTGAAAGGGGGTTTATTGCCTTCGGCTTTTAACAAGTGGCAGCCCCAATGGCACTCGTTTTTTCGCCGACAAGAATTCAATGATACTGCGTAGTCGCCGAAGAAAAGTTGTAGAAACAGGGCCTCTCCGTTAAAAAAATTATTTGAAGTAAAAAAATTAGAAGAAACCAAAAACCAGCTAGCTAGTTGTTCAAATCAAGACTCTATCTATCAGAAATAAGACTCCATCTAAAGTGATCTATAGAACTGCACCTAATTTGGGACATTTCATTCATTCGAAGCGGCGTGTGCATTAAATGAAAACTCATAGAACGGCATTGCCAGCGCTGCGGAAAATTCCAAAGAACGAGGCGAAAAGAAGCCATTTAGTGTGGAAATGCAGATACACATATGCGGAAAAGGGGCCTGCAGCTGCTGCATTCCCGAGCCAGACCTTCGGCCTTGAGGAGACCGAACAATAGAACCCCTGGGAACCGAGCCCAGACGGATTATAGGGGTAGGACTGGATCTCAGGTAGGCAAAAGGCCCAGAAACTGTGAAAACCGAGGTTACATTTTCGCCGTCCTCGTTAAATCGAATATCAGTCGTCGGCGGCATGGCCTAGTGAAAACTTCTCGTAAGAAACTCTTCCTAAAAGAGTTCAAAGTGTACTTTTTTTTAATTTTTTTAAAGTGGTTATTTTTTAGAGGTGAAATTAGCTTAGAGAGTGTACCCTGCAGCAAGACGCTACGTTACAGGACGAGATGTGTTCCGTTGGGCAGCGACATCTTCAGGGCCCTCAGCCCCATTTAGAAACCCTCAGAATCCGTGACCAGTTACACAACTTCTCGTCCAGCTTCGCCACATCAAGTCATTTCGCCATAACGACCAAAAACCATCAACAACCGAGAGATTCTCCTCCTGAGCTGCAATTCTTTCGGGTGGCGTCTTCTCGCGGAGACGCGGACTCCTTGGAGAGCGTCAGTGGTGCATGTGGTGCAACTTGAGCTGCGGCGAGCGCAGCGGACGAGCCCCGTAAACGCAACCTTGCAGTCTTACCTCCTGCTTCCCTATGGCCCAGAATCGGATGAGAAGAACCACTCTACCGAAACGAGAAGAATCTGAAAACGCTTGCGGTGGAAAAGTCTGACCGGAACGAGAAAGCCCCCGAGAATCCAGAGCATTCGCTTGGCGTCATGTGCGTTTCGAGAAGACGCGTACGCATACCTCTATCGGGCGCATATGGCGGCACGCGAATGCGAGAGAGACGGCAATACTGTAGACAAGGGGAGACGGCTCCCTCTCTCCATCTTTCTCGCGCCGGCTAGGCGTTTGCATCGCAAGCGGACAAGCGAGACGGCCATAGGGTGGACTGCAAGGCCCGAAAGAGAGCGGTGAAGCAATACAATCCCCATAAACACTAAGGAGCGCATCGAAAGATGTGCTCACCTATAACCCAGGGACGTCCCTCGGCGAGCAAGCAGGCACAGACCGCACTCACGGACACCGCCGCGTTCGAGGAAGGTTTCCGCACCCGTTGGAATCAGCCGGCCAGGAGCGTTGAGTCGCCATAAATCAGTCAAATACTGTCTTATCAGATATAACCCCCGTAACGATATAAAGGCGAGAGCTTTGAGCTCTTTTGAAAGTCCCAAGAGTGTCATCGTAACGTTCACCTCACAGTCCATCGAAATCCCATTTCTGGTCGGAGCAAAGCGATATTCAAGCGGTAGTTAGCCCCAAATTTCAATGAATAAGCCTCAGTTGCTGTCACTGGCCAAGGGAACTCATCAAAGTTAGGGGAACTACGAACTGGAAATTGGGTTTAGGGAACTCAAGTCAGACGCCATGCCGCCGCCTTACTATAATATTAAAGCCAAGAAGCTACGCCCAGAAGAAACTGCCACTGCATAGGTTCTAAAAGTAAGCAAAAAGTCTTCACGGACTCCCACCGACTAAGGGACCGCTAAATAATACACCTTATAAAACACAGAAACGTTGGAAACTCAGGCTTGTACGCAACACAAACTCATCTCGAACAAATCAAGAATCAGCCTAGATTAACCTTCCATTGGCAATCCACTGACGCAGTGCCTAGAAATCGCCTTAACGTTGCAATTTTTGTTGCTTTAGTTTTTTGTTTTGTGTTTCTAATAACCAGAACATTACTTGCAGCCATTTAACCAGCTTTTTAGCTGAAAAAGCCTTTAGATTAACTGCCAGGAGGTGAGTGTTTGTCTCTAGTCCTTGGACAACGTTGCTTTGGTGCCAACTAGAGAAGACAGGCAAGGCAAAGCCTGTCTAAAAAAAAACCCAAAAAGAGCAATAAATTGTTATACAAGCTGATCAAAAGTTGTGGAACTAAAATAAAATATAAAGATTGCTCATAAAACGCTCGATAAAAACGAGCGCTTCGTGAGCCAAAAAAATAGAGCGATGAAAAAGAAAATTAAATGCTGGTCAATCGTTTGACCTGCAATTGATTTGCAAATTACTGAACACGTTGTCCTAAACTTAGGATAAAGCTTGGTAACAACTTTAAATACTTCTCCTGCTTGGCACCAACAAAGCGTTTCCTCCAGGGCTTAAAGCAAAAGCTACTGTCGTATTGGCCATCCTTATTAACATATTTCTGTGTTGTGTTTTTTCAGATGAGTTTTGAGCAGAGACGAGAAAATTGGAGCCTCGCCGAGCTATAGTTTTCAATTAATTTTAATTTGATAGTCGGTGTGAAAGGCGATTTCCAGTTTTTTCAAAGATTTCATTTAACATCCTTTAGCTGATTCTTGATCTTGTGCTTTCATTAACATTCAACTTCATCACATTGCTAACCTGCTTGAACTAAAACGTTGAGATTATTTAATTTTCCTGGTTAATTAACCGTTTTATGCAAATGTCCTGCAGTTAAGGGTATCCAATTAAAACTTGTGCTTTCCCTTGAATTTTATATGCAAGCAGATGTAAATAGAGCCAACGAAACCCAGTCCTTCCCACTAGAGGCCACAGCCAAGAAGCTCCGCCAAATACAAGAGAAGAGAATACTAACCGTTCTAAACATATTTCTAGGTCCACCCTCTATGTGATTCTGTTTGTTTTTGTCTGTTCGAGATCCAATCCTCTTCCTTTTTTTAAGATCCTTGATCTGTCCAAACTAACATCTCCCCAGTTGTGCCCCCATTGGAACCCATTTCGTCCCGTCGTTTTTTATGTGTGTACTTGCCGCCTGATTTTTTTTAAATCCTTATCCATCCGGCACTCATCATTCTTATCCTGGATACATGCTTTGCATGCTTTCTGCTTTTATAAAACCCCAAAACACATTAAAATCCCACGGCATCAGATTAAACTCGCTTTTGACACGCATTCGCCTTTTAAAATTAGTTTGTGTTTCGGAGAACGCGTCAAAAGGGCAATTTTGAAATGTTAACCGAAACAGAAACGAAAGAATCAATATTTTTGAATTGCGTAAAACGAATAAATCAAATGGCACCGAGAGCACAATAGCGTTCTACGCAGTTTTTGAAAATATATTTGCTAAATGAATGAATATTGAAACACACAAAATGCCAGTACAATAAAAAGTGTGTGGAACCGTTATACGAATCTTCACAATGTGCCCAAAGAATAAAATGCAAATAATGGAACCGTTATACGCCTGAGCCGACTCACAAAAAAACAAAGTATGTTTATTTGATGGAGCACAACAATGTGAACCCTGTGTGGATTTTTTTGAGAGTCGGCATGGGATTCAAATGATTGCAAATTGCATAACCCGCTTAATTAAAATCTAAAGCATCACCTTTTATTTACTTATAATTTAACAGGAATTTGAAGAATTGGCGATAATAAATATAAAAAAAATGATTTTTGTTTGCTTAATTGGGTGGGGGAGGGGGTGGGTATTTGTCGAAAATATGGATGTCTGGGAGATTTGGCAATTTTAAGCACCAATCGGACAACCTAATCCCGAGGAGTATTTATTGTCCAATGTTTTCCTCATTATCTTATTTATTTTGTATTTGGGGGTTAAAATTAAATGAAAGGAAACGATTTTTTCATTATTCGATTAAAGACAGCAAAGGCCGGCCAGAGGAATTTTTTCCATTCGGACAACCAAATAAAAATTTTCTGAAAAAACGAAATACCAGGCCAACAGAAATGCCTAGAAGGTGGCTACACTAATTGACGAACGTGCAGTAGTCGAGACTCGAACGATTTCCTTTTTGGTGAGTAACAATAGCCAGCACACATTCTAGTTTCAAACCACGACATCTAGGTTGTCAAAATAGCAAAGTTTCAAACCATTTGATCATGCGGTGGCTAGTGTAACTCACCAAAAAGGAAATCGTTCGAGTCTCGACTACTGCACGTTCGTCAGTTAGTGCAGCCACCTTCTAGGCATTTCTGTTGGCCTGGTATTTCGTTTTCAGAAACTGCCAATTTGGCTGCCCGAATGGACAAAAATGGTCTTCGAACTCATTGATTTCCATCGAATGATTAGATTTCAGACACCAAGCGAACATAAACGGTAGAAGGTCGAACCACTAAGAATATAGTGTTTTCTACCGGAATTGTCAACTGATCTTTCCCAAATCAGTTTTTATGAACTAACTAGAGGATCAGTTAAATGACAATGAAATTGCATTCGGTGGCATGAATATTGGGCTTTTCTAGTTTTCAAAACTATACTTTGTTTGGCTGTAAGTTGTTTCTTGCCCAAATAACAGACAAATTACCAATGGAAAAAGTTTTTTTTGCCCAAAACTACAAAAAATGGCTTAAAAAACCCCAGTTTTTTTGCATTATCTAAGGAAGTACTCTTCCAAATGTGGAATGGCATACATCGTTGAATTCGCAATAAAATTTCCTATCCGATGGTATAAACACCCAAAAAAGTTGAAATTTTGCCATTTTTCGCAAAAAGTCATAAGTGTTACCACTTATGAAAAATGCGAAAATTGGCCAAAAATCATTTTTTTTGAATCGTCCAAAAAGTGTTTGGGCTCGTTAACTGTGGTCATAAGGTGCTCAAAACAGTGTTTGGTTCCGCTGTAAGTCACTTTTTGGCCTTATTACAACTAAAAAGTAATAAGTGTATATTTATTATTTAACGGGTATACTGCTACCTATGTGGCAGCTTGAGCAGGATTCAGTGATCAACGGGGGCAGCTGGAAACCAGAGTGGCAGAGTCTGGCGTGCATGGCAGAGCTTGGGACCAGATATTTCGAGGAGGAGCGCAGCGTTACATTACACTATAATAATATCAATATATGTATTTCTAATATAGCATAAGAAACAAAATTATTATTTATGTAGAAATCGCATTATTAAAGATTATAAAAACTAACTAATGAAGTTCTTGATTTTTGGACTGTGGGAGATGTTTCGGACAACCAAATTGGCAGTTTCTGAAAACGAAATACCAGGCGAACATAAATGCCTAGAAGGTGGCTGCACTAACTGACGAACGAGCATTAGTCGAGACTCGAACTATTTCCTTTTTGGTGAGTTACACCAGCCACCGCATGATCAAATGGTTTGAAACTTGGCTAATTTGACCACCCAGAGGGCATGGTTTGAAACTCGACTATGTTGTGGCTGACGTTATTCACCAAAAAGGAAATAGTTCGAGTCTCGACTACGCTCGTTCGTCAGTTAGTGCAGCCACCTTCTAGGCACTTATGTTCGCCTGGTATTTCGTTTTCAGAAACTGCCAATTTGGCTGCCAACTTGGCTGCCCGAATGGACAAAAATGCTCCTTGAAATCGTTTTTAGATGAATTCCCCCATTTAATTATTCCCAAATCAGAAGACATTGCTTTTTTGTTTTTATGTGTTTATTTAGAAAAAATAATTGTTTATTGTGTTTGTGGATGATGACATCTCTTTTCGCGCTTATTTCCTATTTAAAAAAACCTTATACAAAATATATATTCTTAATACTATATATGTAATTTGTAAAAGAATTATTAACACTATAAATACAAGAATCTTGTAAATGCAGTAGACACAAAATACTTTCTTACATCTAATTAAGTACACACTTTGTAAAAAAATAAATGCTACAACTGAATACGAGTTAAAAAAAGTATTATAAACAAATAAGTAAAAAAAATGGGAATGCGAGTGTCGTTGGACAACATCACGCACAAGGAAGCTCAGCGACTGAGTTTCGAACTGCCGGCGTCACATACAGAAAGACAAAACATATTCGATATTAGTTGACAAAAAAAAACGAATTAAAAATGGTTTCTTAAAAAAAAAAAACTTATTCTAACAGCTGGCCAGGCTTGAGATGTTTTCGTGTCTGGGAATGCATTTAGTCAAGCGATTGATGTCCAATGGGGCGACGTGTGGCGCTGATGCCGTGGCAAACGGGGCAAGGACAGCAAGGACTCCGGGATGCCGCTGCTCCTGGCTGCTCCGCTCGCCACCAACTCAGCTCCTGGGCAAGTATATGTGTAGGTGCGGATGAGCGTGTACAATATGCTTGTGTGCGGGTGCTTGGGTTCTTGGATTCTTGGGTACTGGGTGGTGGGTGGTGGGTGGCAGTGGTGGTGGGCTGGCTGGCACAGCGGGAACTTCTCATGTGGAACCATAGAAGGACTGTGTGGTGTCCCCCCTCCGATTTGCCTTCCGCCCGATCCCCTATTCTACTCCTGGCTGGCAGCTCGCGACCCTAAATCCTTACAGCTAGCTATTCGTATTTGTATCCATGCTATGTATGTACATCCTTGGCGGATCCTTATTGGCGACGTGGCAGCATTGCGTTGCTTGAGATTAACGGGTTCCATGTACGGCTAGAAAGTTGCACTAGAGATGGGCGCGGATCGCCGATCGAAGATCAATCATCATCTGCGCTGGTTCAGCATCTGCAGGTAGTACTCGCAGTTGGTGCAGTAGACCGCCGGCGCGATCACGTGCCTCTTGCGGCACAGGTTGCACTCGACGGCCTTGGCCGAGGCCTTCACGATGGCATTGTTGTAGACGCGGGTGGGAATGGCGGTGATGGCGGGCGAGGCGGTGCCAGTCCCCGCTGCTGCTGCTGGTGCCCCTGATCCCGATACGGATCCCGCCTCCGGCAGTCCGTTCTGCAGGGCCAGCTTCGTTTGCGGCGGCGGCGGCGGCGGTGGCAGGCACTCGGTTTCCCCCTTCGTTCCCGGCTCAAAGCTCACCTTCTTCTGCACGGGCTTGGCCATCAACTGTTGCTGCTGCTGCTGCTGGAGTTGCTGCTGCTGCAGTTGCTGCTGCAGCTGCTGCTGCTGCTGGGCGTTGGGCAGGGGGTAGTAGGGTCCCGCTGCCGCCGGCTGGTAGCCATGGGGCAGGGGAACGCGCTGGTAGGGCGAGGGCAGCGGCTGAGGCACCTGCTCGGAAGTCGCCACATTGCAGGTGCCGTTGCTGAAGTATCCCAGGCTGAGTTGCTGCGGGGCCTGCTGCTGCTGCTGTTGTTGCTGCTGCTGCTGTTGCTGTTGCTGCATTTGCTGGTGTTTCTGCAGCTGCACGGAGTAGCTCTGGGCCAGCAGCTGGGGATGGTGCAACGGACGCGGCATGCTGGTGTACTGGGCATCGACCTGCTGCAAGTGCTGCTGGCTGGCAATGCCGCTCATGCTGGTGCGATGTTGCTGCTGCAGCTGCTGCTGCTGCTGTTGCTGGCGGTACAACTCCTGCTGTTGCTGCTGCTGCTGTTGCTGTTGCTGTTGCATCCTCTGCACATATCGCTGCATCTCCGCGGAGGGTGCCGCTGGTCTGCCCAACATGGGCGACGGCTGCTGTTGCTGCTGCTGCTGCAATTGCTGTTGCAGCTGCTGTTGCTGCTGCATCTGTTGTTGCTGCTGCATCTGTTGCTGCTGCTGTTGCAACTGCTGGCGGGGCTGGGCCTCCGTCTGCAGGCGCAGCATGTTCTGCTGCTGCTGCTGGATCATCTGGGCGGTCACCTTCTCGTTGGGATGCTGGGCGGTGCGCAGGACCCGCTCCAGGATCGGATTCGGGATGAAGTCGTCGTCCTCCTCGTTGCCGGCGGTGGCCACCAGGATCACCTGGTCGCAGAACGAGACGCTCTTCTTCTTCACCCGCTTGGGCGGCGCAGTGACTCCGCTTTGGCTTTGGTTCTGGCTCTGGCCGAGCGTCTGCTGCACCATCGTGTTGAGCAGCTCCACCTCGCGGATCTCCTCGGCGATCTGGGACTGGCTCATCTCGTACTTGGGCTTCGGCAGCATCTGGTGGCTGGGGAGCAAAGAGGGCAGGGCGGTCATCGAGTTCCTTGCCGGCGGCATCGCGTCCACCTCATCCACGTCCAGCTTGGCACTGGGCAGTCCGTTCATCTGGGTGCGCAGCTGGCCGCCAGTCTGCTGTTGGCCATTCTGGAGTGGCTGGGAGAGCAGCTCCTGCGAGGCGTACGAGCGGATGCAGGATGCAGAGGAGGCGGAGGCGGAGGAGGTGGAAGTGGAGGAGCTCTGCTCGAAGCGGTGGGCCAGATCGCGGACGCTCGCTGGCGAGGATGCCTCCAGCTTGCGCTGCATGGCCCGCAGATCGTTGGCCTGGCGCACCTGCAGCTCCTTCAGCCAGGTGGCGTCCGCCGGGGTGCCTGCTCCCACCTGCTCCTTGCGCAGCTTCAGCAGGTGCTGGCGCTGCTGCAGCTGGGCCAGGATGCTGGTGGTGCCCTCGAGGGAGTCCAGCTGCTGGCGCTGCTGCTTGCTGGCCGCCTCCAGGGCCTGCAGCTGGCTGAGCTGCTGGTTGAGGGGCTCCAGGTCGAGTTCCGGCGGCGGCGGCGGCGGGAAGTCCTCGCTGGCCTGGCGCGAGTGGCAGGCGGAGTGCGGCGGACTCGGATAGGGCGGGAGTTCCATCGGGGGTGGCAGTGGCAGGGGGAGGGGCAGCTCCTCCTGGCCGGACAGCGCCTGCACCATCTCCTTGAGCGGACTCTGCTCGGAGTGCACCTGCGCACAGGTAGTGATGATCGTCTGGCAGGAGTCCTCGCTGATCGAGGTGTTCGAGCTCATCGCCGAGAGGTTCGAGAGGTTCGCCTCGTGGTGGAACTGCTGCTGCTGCTGCTGCTGCTGCTGCGGGGTCAGCGCGGAGCTGGTGCGCATGGGCGGCGGAGGCGCCACCTTGGGCACCATCGTCAGCTGGCGGCCGCTGCCGTGGAAGCTCTTGCGCATCAGCTTGCTGCGCTCGAGGTTCGGGTTGGGGTTGCTGCCCGCTCCGGAGTTCCCCCTGATCCGGCGGAGGAGCAGCCGGGGTAGTCGAAGTGCCCCTCGGAGATGTAGCCGCTCATGGCGTGGCCTCCATGGCCACTGTGCTTGCCCAGACCCACGCCGCTGTCGTCCACCGAGCTGCCCAGGATCCCGGCTCCCGAGGAGGCGACGTGCGGGTGGTGGTGGTGGTGGGCCATCCCAGGATGAACGGCAGTGGTCACGTCGTCCACCGCCTCGGTGAGATCGGGCATGGAGCGGTTCTTGCGCCGGATGAGCCCGCCCATGAGCAGCTTGCGGCGGATCTTGTGCTGCTTCTTGCCGCTCCTGTCCTTCTCCTTCTTCTCGTCCTTGTCCTCCTTGTGCTTCTTCAGCGTGTCCTTGGCGTTCACGAGCAGCGTCTCCGTGAGCGAGAACTCGCGGGTGAGCTTGTTCCTGTCCTCGCTGCGGCTGCGCTTCTCCTTCTCCTTGTCCTTCTCCCTCTCTTTATCCTTGTCCTTGTCCTTGCGCCCGAAGAGGGAGCGGCTCTCCCGCTCCGGCTTGCCCGGACTGGCGGCCACCGGCTTCTCCGGCTTCTCCTGCCGCTCCTGCTCGTACTCGATGGCGTAGTCGTCGCAGGCGGAGGCGGAGGCGGAGGCGGAGGCGGAGGCGGAGGCGGAGGCGGAGGCGGAGGCGGCGACCATCGCCTTCAGCGGACTCTTGCGCTTGGGCAGCGTGGCGTAGATCTCGATGCTGGCCGGGATCAGCTGCTGCTGCATCTGGAACTGTTGCTGCTGCATCTGGTGATGCTGCTGCAACTGATGTTGCTGCTGCTCCTTCTCCAGAGTGCGATCCTTGCTGTTCTGGCGCACGTGCTTCACGCTGGAGGTGCTGCCCTCGCGCATGTGCTTCAGCTCCGGCATGGCCTCCGCCTCGGCGCCCTTCTCCACCAGGATGCGCCGGTGGAGGCTCCGGGCGCGCATCACGCACGTGTTGTGCTTCATCCGGGCGAAGGTCATCGTGTGCGGGTTGCTGTACGGCGCGTCCATCGCCGCCCGAGCTCTTCCCGCCGCCGCGTTGCAGAGCACCAAGGCAGTTTCCAAATCATGCGACTCCTCCACCAGGCGCGACTTCTCCAGCAGCTGGTCCGCCTCGTGGCAGAGCTTCTCACAGTCGCCCGATAATGCTGGCAATCCATGGGTATGCCCATGCTGCACTGCACCCACTCCCATTGCAGCTCCATTAACACCCATGGAGGCCTCGGGGATCTTGGCCAGCTGCGGGTTGAGCGCGTGCTTCGGCGGATACGAGTCCGTGGAGCTCAGCGAGAAGGAGTCGTAGCCGGGATCGTAGGGCAGTCCGTGCCGCGTGGGACTCTGCGGCACCGCGGAGACGGAGCCGGAGACGCCCCGCTTGGCCACCATGTAGAGGTACGGGTTGTCCAGGGTGGTCGAGCTGGCGGAGCTGGCGCTGTTCCTGTCGCCCGACCAGTTGCCCGAGTCCCGCCGCCGCGGCTGGTTCAGGTGCTCCGGCATGGTGAGTCCGTCGCTGGGCGGGGAGCTCCCGTTGGAGGAGGAGGCGTGGCCCGAGCTGGACTCCGCGCTGTGGCTCCGCTGGAGCTGCAGGTGCTGCCTTCGCGCCAGCTGCGCATTGAGCACCGCCTCGATGGGCTTCCTGCTGAGGAATCCCCCGTCCTTGTCCGCGTTCTGGGGGGGAATGCCCTGAATTCCATTCATGCTGGGTATGCTACTCCCTCCTCCTCCTCCGATCTTGTCCTGGATCACGCTCAGGTTCTGGTACTGGGCACTCAGCACGTGCTCCACCGTCTTGCGGCTGATGTAGGCGTCCGTCTCGTCGCCGCCCGGGAAGATGTTCTTCTGGATGACGCTGAGGTTCTGGTAGTCGTTGAGCGGACTCCTCAGCGGAGTGGGCGTGGGCGTGGGCGTGATGGCCCGCCGGGTGTTGCCCAGGATGGGCTTCTCCGGACTGGGAGTGACCGCCCTACGAACCACTGATCCGCTGGAGGGAACGCTGGCCGGCATAGCTGGCATGGCTGGCATGGTGGCGGCATCAAGGGTGGAGGCACCTCCTCCTCCGTTGGAGGAGGGCTGCTGGGGCACCGCGTAGAGCAGCAGCAGCGGCTGGTAGCGACCCCGGCTGCACTTGTCCACGACGCCCTCCCAGCTGGGACCCACCTCCTTGACGTTGGCGTCGTCGAAGTAGACCCACACCTTGAGCTTCGTGTGGAAGAAGAAGGTGGTGTAGTGCTTGCCGTAGTAGGAGACGATCCCCACCAGCTCGTGCTGCGTCTGCTGGGCCCACCGCTGCTCGCTCACCTGGTGGAACACGTCGCCCAGCCGCAGACTGGTGCCCACCGCCTTGAGCACGGCGTGCACCTGGTCCGCCGCCGGCCGCTCCGAGTCCCACACGATCCCGATGGACACCACGTCCGGTCGGTTGAGCAGCGCCCGGCAGATTCCGATCTTCGCGCCGCAGGTGTTCTGTTTAAGGAGATGGATAGATAGTAGATAGTTAGGAGGGATTCCTTGAGGGATTAAGGATTAGTGGATTACTTACCGGACAGTCGCGAATGTCGCCCATGTTGCCGGCGGCCCTCAGGAGTTGGCCGAAGCTCAGCTGCTGGTGCGCCTGGAGGGCCAGGCTCTTCTGGGAGGTCAGCGCCGAGGCGGAGACGTAGTGCACCATCTGTAGGAGGAGAGCAGAGAAGCCAGAAGCCAATTAGCAATTAGCGAGTAATATATAGTAATATGGTCAAGGCGGAAGTGGAACGCCCACATCCCCCATCCCACATCCCAGCGACTTAAGTGGACTGCTGACGTCACCCCGAGAGATTTCTACACACATTCTACACACTCGCAAGAGTATCTCTATTGGAAAAGAGCCATCGAATATCTGGGTATCTGAGTATCTGAGTATCTGAATAGGTGCCCCCTTTTAAGGGTCCAACTGGTCCGGCGGCTTTTCGCTGGCCAATCTGCATGTCCATGTGCATTGGCATATGCATTGGCATGGAGTAAACCCGTTTCGATCGGTGCTCTGGTCACCCGGGTAACTGTTCTCTGTTCTCGGAGGGAGCGACAAGTGGCAGACACTCAGGCCACGGACCACAAGTGCAGCAGCAACAGCAAAATAAACAGCAACAGCAACAACAACAGCAACAGCAATAGCGAGTGTTGCAGGTGTTCCAAGCTTCAGACACCGAAGCCCACGCCACTAGTTCTCTTTCTCCTTCTCCAACTCAGCGATCAGCGATCTGTGGTATCTGTGATCAGTGGATTGGTGGATTGGTGGATTGGCGGAGCAAACGAGTTGCCTACACTCGCAGAAAAGTTCAAGGATTGTCTGTCTAACAGATTGTAAGAGATTGTACAGAGAGCAGAGCAATTAGAAGTTATTTATTGCGCTTCTTGGGAAGATAAGAGCCAAGAAGACAACAGAAACACATGTAATCCCGAACTTAGATGGGTAATAAAGCCAACTCAAGCTGATCTAAGCTAAGCTCACAGCCAAATATATATAAGGCTCATTAGGTTGGAAGATAATGATGCAAATGGTATGCAAAGTGAGGCAGAAACAAGTCAGGCGGGTATTAAAATACTAGAGTTAACCTAAGCCGCACTTTCAATCTCTTCCGCTTATTGGGAATACCCTGCACACATGTTCTTTACGATCTGAACTTCTGAACTATGCAGTTGTGCTGCCCAATCCCATTCGGAATCCCCCTACTCACCTGGGTGAAGGGCAGCTGCTCCGAGTTGGCGCCGCACTTGCAGACGCTCTGCTCGATGACCCGCATGGCGAAGCGGCGGTGGGCGATGCAGGCGGAGGACTCGCAGGCGTCCCCGTCGTCCGGCGAGATGTGCGAGTGGACGCGGTGGAGCAGCAGCTCGAAGCACTCGGCGGCGTCGCCCAGACATCCGAGGGGGAACCTCCTCCCCGCCAGCGGACCACTGGCCAGGGCCCGACGCAGTGGCTCCGGACACAACGCGGGCTCCGAGCTGGTCTGCAGCTGCTGGAACAGTTCCTGTTCGAGGGGGAAGAGAATTCAGTTAGCTACTTTCATTCAAAATATCATATCATATCATCTAGAAGAACCATCTTATACCACGAATCTATTTTGATTTCTCTTGAAAGCTTCTTCTTCCAGAAGAATCATATTATATCATAAATCTATCTTGATTTCTCTTAAAGTTACTTCTACCCGTAGAAGAACCACTCTTTCGCAAGACATCGCTGACTGACTTTCGTGAGCTTCGTTGGCTTTGTTTGCCATCTGGCTTATCTCATCTTCGGTTACGTGTAAGTTGCCAAAATATAAAGCATTTCCTACAATTAAACCCGGTAACTTTAAACCTGCTTATCAAGCTATATAAATCATAAAAAATTATAAATATATTACTCGCATGGAATACTCTCCATACTAGATGCACACTTTCTGTGCCTTTTCCTAGACTTACAATGAGTTATACAAAATGGTAAGTATACTATCAAATGGAATATCTACTATGGTAGATCTATGATAGATTCTGTGCATTTCCCTGGACTTTCAATAGGTATTAAATATATTATATAAAATAAATATAATAAATACATTATGTATTATCATATTATCATATGGAATATCTACTATAGTAGACTTTGAATGAGCATTAAATATAATAAATATATTATATATTATGGAATATGTACTATGGTAGATGTAAAGTTGCAGTGCTTTTCCCTGGACTTACAATAACCGCATTGATGCAGCGATCCCTCTCCGAGTTTCCCGCGATGCTGCTGCTCATGTTGCTCATGTTGCTGATGTTGCTGATGTTGCTTCCGCTGATGTTGCTGCTGCCGTTGTATCCCATCACGGCCAGCTCCACGCTGCTGGCCACCTTGGCCAGCGCACTGACCGAGGCCTTCTGCTTCGACTGGTGGCGGGTCAGAGTGGCCGACTTGTCGCCTCCGTCGAGGAGCAGCTTGCGGGGACTGCTCCGCGGGAGGGTGCCTCCGTTGTTGCTCATCAGGTGGCCCAGCTGCGGGTGGTGGAGGGTCACGGGAACGGGCAGGGGAGCGGACACATTCGGAGTGGCAACTGCTGGGTTGACTGATCCTCCCGAGCCGCCTCCCGATCCCGATCCTGATCCTGCTCCATTTGCAGGATTGGCACTTGCCACGCCCACCACATTGGTGGGTTCCTTCCTCTTGTAGCGGAACTTGATCATCTTGCTGGGCTTCCGGTGGTCGGGGCTTCAGTGCCTTCTCTCCACCAACACGAGACTGTCACTGTGGAAATGGTTTGTTTAGGAAATCGCTTAGCTTTCAAGCCTCTTCGCTAGCAACTCGAGTTTTTGGCAGTCCGGGTGTTAAGTGCCTATATTCAGATATTCCCTAGTCAGCTCAAAAAAACTGTTTAAAGGGAAGTTGGAATTCCAGCGGAAGTGCGGCCAAAAGTGTAGAGTCAGCCCCCAAAAAAAGGGGAAAGTGGAAAGGGAAATGCAACCCCCAGCAATTAAGGAGGAAGTACTACACTCGCAGCTAAGCAATTCACTTGAAGCCACTGGAAGGTGGAGAACTTCAGACTTGTATCATTGTATCACTGTATCATTGTATCATTGTATCACTGTATCAATAACAGCTGCGACAGGTTTTCGGACTCCTTTGATGGAGAGTGACCAATTGGCACACCCTAACAGCAGCAGCCACATGGAACTCATGAAGCCGATTCCGAAGCCGAAGTGCCGACTGGACTTGACTTTCGCTTTTGGCCTGCTGCTCTCGACCTCATTTGCGGCCAATCGAAAGTTTCGCCAGCAAACCGGTCCATAATCCACATCCACAAACTCAAAGTTCTCCAGCCCCAGAAAGGTCTGAACACTAAATTGTCCACTCAGCGGTTTCTGTTTCTAAAAGCTGTTTCTGCAAAACTAGAGCCGCAGAATTGCATGTGCAGCGGTCAGCGGTAAACTGTTTGCTGTTAGCTATAAGCGGTAAGTGGTGAGTGGTGAGCGGTGAGCGGTAAGCGGTAAGCGCCGTAAAGCGGTCTAATGTTGCCGCCTGACAACCGCTGACGCCTGGCAAATGAAGTGCCGCACTGCAGAGTGCAATTTGAGAAGAGCGAGGGGAACTGGAGCCCCTGGAGTACGAGTCAATGGATATGGGATAGTGGTGATCCAGGGGAGTGGCTGAATGTGGAGTTCGGATCGAAAAGAATAGCAGAGAACAGAACGCACGACACGAATGACGCCATGTGCGACATATGGCTGAGATCCGAGATCCGAGATCTGTAAACGCCTTTTGCCGTTTCTGCGTTTCTGCTGTCAGTTGCAATTGTTTGGCCCAAACGGCGACCCGACACGAACAATGAGTTGGAGTCGGCTCAAAATGCAGAATAATATGCACAGAGCGCAATTCTTTAGCCAATGAAATTCTTAAAACTCTGTCCCTCTTAGTAGAGCAACAATATATTTTATTATAAGACGACATCCTATTGGTTTTTAATGGAGTACATTATAGATACTCCTCCAAGTCACAGCAAAGTCTACACACTTTCAGTTTAACCAAGTATCGATCATATTTTTGGGAAGTGCTCGTGCAAGTACTCACTTACTCACAAAATACACAACGATCTGCTGTTCGCATGCAGTTCCTGGAATCGAATGCGAATGAAGTCGCCACAATTAACACTTGTCAACTGTTTGGGTTTCGAGTTTCGGGATTCGAGCGAGAGGCGAAGGGAGCGAACAGCTTGAGTTGTGAGTTCATCAGCTTGCAGTTGTTTACACTGTGCTGCATGAGCGGGTTTTCAAGTTCAAGTGGGGGAAACACACCGAGTGCCATGGAAACTTGGAGGGCGGAGGTGAACCTACAGCAGGCAAAGCCCAGAAGACAATTCCGAGTTGTGCTTGCTAACATTACTCTGCTTAATGAGTGTTACGATGTCTCCCAATATCACGATGTCTGCCTATAAAAATATAGTGAAAATATAGTAACAAAGACCCAAAAGAACCCTCCTTTAGCCCATAAACATCGAACATGTTTTAGTTTGGCCGCAGACAAAGGAAATCTGAACTCCGAAACACTCCACTGGAGTTGACTGCCCTTTCGGGTGACAATTCTGGATTTTATACTTTATAGTTGTGGCCATAAAAACGTTTAATAAGCGGAAAAGCGGAAAAGCCGCCGCTGGCGAGCGGAAGTTGGCCGGGGAAACCCACTGATTTCCCGCTGCATTTGTACTTTTTACTTGCGCTTCTCCCCTAATTGTTTTTCCAGCTAAAAAGTGCAGCGGGGGGGTTGTATTTATTATTCGAGTACAAGTGTAATTCATTGTAATTCATTGGACAAAACTGTTGCATGCTAATTAGTCCGGGGTAAAGCACAAAATCACACGTCACGCTCTTTAATTCCCGCTTTTGGACCACTGAACCACTGAACCACTGGACCACGGGACCACTGGACCCATGGACCACTCTTGCCACACAACAAGTGGAAGTTGGCGAATCATTTAGGCCACGCAATTAGCCGGCAATTGGCCAACTATTTGACCAACTATTTGCGCCAAGTGCGCAACTGCAAAGGCAAAGGAAAAGGTAAAGGCAAAGGCCCAAGGGATTGGATTGATCGTGAAATGGGATCACACAACTCTGAATGGAATTTAAATAAGGTTACTTGGGAAACTGATTGGGTAATTGCGAGGCAAGTGAATCTTCTCCTCTGAGATTCGCCACTGATCATCACAACATAAATTGGTTGCTTGATGTGGAAATTCTTCTATCGGAGTAACACTGTTATGCATATTTCCTTCGCTGGCAGATATTAATATTCAGCAGTGCTGTTTGCCGTTTGGATCGTGTTTTCGAGGCTCCAGTTCGATTTGCTCGCTTGTTTTAATTTGTGAGTAGAGTAGAGTAACATAGAGCAGAGTAGAGTCAAGTTGAATCGAATGGAATCGATGCGAGACTCGACGAGGCGACACTTGGCGGGGAAGCCGAAGTGGCAGAAGTGGCAGTCCTTGAGTCTCCGACCGACACTATTTACAGATATTTATAGATCGGGCTTTGGGGCTTTGGGGCTTTGGAGGTGTGGGGCCTGCACACTTCGAACCGACTGCAGATACAGATACACATCAGAGTTAGAGGTTCAGATACAGATACAGATACAGATACAGATACAGATACAGATACAGATACAGATACAGATACAGATACAGATACAGATACAAATACAAATACAGATACAGATACGAAGACTGAGAGCTTTGGCGAGCCGTTTCCCAAATGCAAAACAAGTTGGCAACTTAACATCAGTTGGCCTGCAGCCATCATAAATGTTTTCATTTATTATTATTATTGCTACCTCTCATTATTGCTGCTGAATGCTAAATGCTGACTGCTGGCTAATGTTGCTGTTTTATTCGCTTTTTGTTTGTTTTTTTGTGCTTTTCGGTTCTTGGTTTTTTGCGAACCTGATGATTTATGGGCCTCAATGGTTGGCCCACAAGCGGGGGGCCCAAACGCTGCCTTTGGCTTTGGCCGAACGAATCTGCTTCCGCAATTACAGCAGCGGCAACAAAGACGACAACAACAACCAAGAACTGACCTTTTTCTCAGCCAGATCGAGACAAAGAGCCACAAAGAGAGTCTACCTGAATGCTGATAGCTGAATGCTGGCTAAATGTGGGAACAGCACACGTGGAAGTGCAACAGCAACTAGCAACCAGCAACCTGCAACCTGCAACCCATGTTGCAAATGGCAGGCAGATAAACGAGGCATAGAAAATCAGTTACAGGGCAAGAAATATTACTGGTTTCCTCTTCTTTGATAAAAAGCAGTTGTTGAATATTGAAAATAAGTATCACTTAACACGAATTAGGAGTCCGAGGTCATGCTAATTTCTTTCTGTGTACGCACAGGTGAAAGGGGCAGTTCTTAAGCAGCAACAAGTGGCAACCCGAGGGATGGCGAGGCATTGTCGCACGTGAGGCGACTGCCAAATGATGGCTAATGACCATTCGGGGGAACCCCTTTCCCATCGAATATATTTACATATTTATATATATTCCAGGCAGGCGTCGGAGGCCCAAGAACCAACCATAAATACTCGAATACTCGAATCTGCTGCTTAATATTCGACTGGAGCGGAGGAGATTCCAAAACCAAGAAGTTGCCGAGTTCATAGCGCTGATCGCTGATGGCTGATGGCCGATGGCTGATGGCCAAGATAATGATGACGGCTCGCCAGTGACATATAACTTGGCCGAAGGAGCCCAACCCGGGTTGACGGCCTGCATTTCAATTGGGGGAGTGGAGTGGCGTCAAGTGGAGTGGATTCAAGTGGGGAATGGAGGGAAGGGAGGTAGGAAGGGAGGAAAGAGCGTGGTACATGCAAATTGGAAGACCAAACCGAAACCGAAACACTCCCTCCTGGGCTGTTGGACCGACTAACCAAGTGGAGAACCAACCAAGTGGAGGGAGAACCGCACTGGAGATCGCGTGATCCGCCGGACTTTCCCTAGGGAAAGACGCGAATCTGGGAAACTCGTTTGCCGAGAGCCTGCGTGCAGCGCACAGATTAATCGCTAATAAGCAGCATAAATGCATTAGCCATTAGGCGAGTGCCCACTGTACCACTGCACCACTGTACCACTGTACCACTGTACCTGCTCAGCAGCAGCAGCAGGTTTCCACGAAGGCTGCGGGCTGCCAAGGCATTTACATACCAAAAGATCTCCGCAAGAGGCGAGTGGAAAACAAGTTGCTCTTAGGCGCTCTAATCCAAACCCCTGCGGACCGCTATGGTTTCTGATTTCTGATTTCTGCTGCGGACCCACATGCTCGTCGAAAATCACAGAATCAATAGCCAACACAATCAATAGCTAACAGGTAAAAACAGGTAATTCCATGTGGCGAACTCCTTTGTTTCACTTCCAAACAAAACCTCTGAACAGCAAACCAAATCCCCGAAACTGGCCAAAAACCTGAGTTCTGTTTGGGCTTTTGTTCGAATTCTCGACTTACGCAAACATTTCTCGTTTCGTGTACACAAAAGTATTCCAATGATTTATCTTGATTTTGGCACAGCTTTATATATATATTCCTTCTTGTTGGTTTAACTTTGGCGGGCACCAGAAAAAAAGAGTTTTATTTGAACGTGTTTGGAGGCAGCGTTTCTTCCGTTTGGTTTCTTTTGCCGCGCGCGCAATTCTTCTCGAGAGCACTCGCTTTCCACTGAGATTCGGTTCTGTAAGCGTTTTCTGGATTCGGATTCGGATTCGGATCGGAGCGACCGCTGGTTAAAACACGTCCGCCGACTGGGAAATTTGCCTCGCAACTGAAACTCGTTTGGCCGCTTGGCTTTCGGCCAACTGAAACGCGAGAGACGCGACCAGGAGAGCCAAGAGATATAGAGAGAGATATGGAGAGCGCTCTCTGGAGAAACTGGTTTTTCAGGGGAACAAGAACTTCAGTTATATCAACAGCGAGCTCACCTGAGCAAACTGAAAACTGAAAACTGAACACCCGAGGCGAACTCGAACCCAAACCCAAACCCAAAACGAATCCGAATCCGAATCGAGAAACGGGGGAGTTTTACTTGTCTTGGAGTAGGTTAAACAGGTAAATGTCTTGGCCGAGCAGGTAAACGCTCGCTGCTTCCACTCTCTCAGCCGCAGTCTCTCTCTCGAGATTCTCAGTGCAAAGGGGCTCAGATTTCTTGGCCAGAAACACCCTGTGTTGCCTCGGATTCAGACTGAGATTCAGAGTCGCCTCGATTGAAATGACAAATGGATGCAGCATGCAGCGGTACAGAGAAGAGCCCAAATCATCTTGCAACTTAGGTAATAGACCAGAACCCCAGAATCCCATACGAGTATAAGAGCCAACCAGTCGTGGAGTCTGTGGCCATGGTTGTCTTTCTTCCGCCGATCGCAGATTGCAGATCTCCAAGATCTTTCGATTTATGAGTCAGCCTGTAAAAGCGGAAACGCCAGCGAAACGCTAGCGAAACGCTAGCGAAACGCTAGCGAAACGCTAGCGAAACGCGTGCGCATGCGCAGCCCTTCCAAACCAAAAAAACCGAAAAAAAAACCCCCTGCGATTCCACGGAAAACCTTAATAAATTCAATCAGCCGTAAACCGTAAACCTTGTGGCCCAAATAATACGATTAAAGCGAACTCAACGAAGTATCTGGGTTTGATGGGTTTTATCTGGTGGCAGTTGATGTTGTAGGAGAGGTGTAGGAGTTGTAAGAGTGAGGCACGTTGTCGTGCCACGAAGATGAAGATGCTGCAGGCTGCAGCATTTAAAACTCAGTTTCTTCTCGGGGTTCAAACCATCGGACCATCGGGTCCATGACTCAAAAAGAAGCCCCAGTTGGGGTCTCAAAACTGGAGTCGAGAGGTGACTCATGGAGCGACTGCGACTGCGCGGAGTCAGTTGATTAATTGATTGATCGTGGCCGCAATCAATTGCACAAAACTGAGAGGCTGCAGTGAAAGGATTGCATTCGATGTGTTTGCATAATGGCCACAGGTGCTTGGAAATGTCGCAAGCTAGATGCACAAAATAGACATTCAGGACAAGAAACCAGAAAAATAACTCATAGTTTTGGAGGCAACAGCTAACCGAAAACACAGAACTGATCAATCAAGTTTGGCTGAAAGAAATCGAATACCGAAAACAAGGCAGCCACTTTGATGGATGTTCACTCGCCGAGGGTTCTTTCTCTGAGATGTCAAATGCAAAATTAGCTTAGAAAACATCAAACAAAAAGCGAGAAAACTATTCAATAATTGATGGATTCTCCGCTGGCTTCTCCGATTGCCTGCATTTCTTTGTCAAGGCGGTGAATAACATTTTGGTGGTCTTTTTGTGTTCGAATAAAACCTTCGCATCGCACGTCGGACGCATAAATTGAATAAATAATAAAAAGCAGAAAACACAGACAAACACAGCGGAGCTTAACAAAATTAAAGCGAAAGAGCCGCAGTGTACATGGTACTATATGGTATATGGGTTTTTTATCGCACTTGAGGGTGAATCACGCTGATTGAGATGCAAAGATGATGGATACGGATTTGTCTCCGCATCTCCTCCGATTAGCACCTGCACTCCGCCACGCTCGTGCCCTCCAATCAGCCCTGCCCCGATACTATATACTCCTATATACATACAGATATATGTTCTCCCTACTCCCCCACCCGACTTCATGGTAATTCAGTTCTTTTTTATGGCGGCTCTGGGCAAACACCAGAACACAAAAACCAAAAAGGCTGTTTGTTTGCACTCACTTTGGATGCGCTCGAGATTAGGAGTGCCCGAAAAAGATATCCAAAATCTGGAGTATCCGTGTTTGGTGGGCAAATAAACAATAATAAGTGCAGTCCCCTGCAACTGGCAACTGGCAACTGGCAACTGGCAACTGGCACACGATTAAGATACGATTAGGACTTTGGCCGGAGAGCCATCTTCATCAGTATTTTCCTGGTAGAGAGACACTTCACTAAACTACAATGTTGTCTCGCTGGTCGGCGGCCTAATGACTTTGTCCTTTGCTCATGGGTTTCTGGAATCGCAGAGTGCAGAGTGGAAGGCTTTGGCACAATGGGAATTGTGCATTCAGGCAGAACGGCAGCCGAGCGAGCTGTCGAGACGATTTTCATTTCCATTTCCATCAAGAAGAAGTTCAGTTCCCGGGTTTGGTCGCCGGGTTCTTAACCCTCCTATGGTTATACAACTCTTATGGTAAAACTCCTACAACTACAACAATCAGCGTGGGGCGACGACGGTCAAAATGCGATCGCAATCGTGGGAGTTTCCCAGCTAAAAGCAGAAGAAGGGAGCAGAACGTCTTCAGCGACGATTTTCATAATTAAATAGTCTTCTTCCCGCGGGAAAGGTGGACTGGAAATTAATTTAGCCGCCCCTTCTTGTAATTAATGCAAAAAAGCAAAAGGCAGTGGCCACCCTTCCCCCTTTCCAGCTTTTCCCTTTTCCCGCTTTTCCCTTTTCCCGCTTCTACCGCTTCTCCTTTCACGATTCTCGTTTAATATGTGGCAGCAAACAAGTGGGCAAGTGGCAGCCATGGTTGCCAGGGTCCAATCGGGGAACTCGGGGAACTTAGCGGGTATTCTGGGTATTCGGGGGACACTGGCAGAGGCATGGAGGCATGGAGGTATGAAGGTGTAGAACAGTCAAAACAAAACAGCCAAACCAAAAACAAAACAAAACAAACCGGAGAAGAGGCACCACAACACTTTCCACTTCGTCGTCATCAGTGTTTGGTTTTCGAGGAGCGAGCGAAGGAGGGAAAACCAAGAGAGAGAGCGGGTCCCCCTGTGAGCGGAGTACAGTGGGCACCCTGTCTTGTGGCCAAGCGTCTTGGCCCGAAAAGTACAGTCGCGCCAGTCGGTTCGGGTTTGTTTGCCTTTTGTTTTGTTTGCTGGAGGTTTTCCCGAACGCCGTGAGTTTGTCGCTCGCCCAAAGGTTTGCACGATGCAAGATGGAAGATGGAAGATGCTTCTTTGCTTCTTTGTGTCTGCGATGGGTGGCAGTTGCAAGAGGAGTTGGGGATTGGGTTCGGGTCTTCTGGCTAATGATCACCACCGAGATAATGACGATGATCATCCGCTGGTCTGGCTTGTGCGAGTATGTTGCACCATTCGCCCGAGAGGGTGAATCTTTTCTCTACTCAGTTTTCAGTTTTCCCACTTTGTGGAAATTCTCGCTGCAGTTTGAGTCCCCGTGATTCTTCGTTTCTGGCAATCATGATCTCTTTTTAATGACTTGGTGATTTCTCCTTCCTGAATAATAATGCACTTTGTTGGTTTTAAGCAGGCGGTCAATATTCAAGTGGAGTTTGTTTCATATCGGGTAAAAAATGATCCGCAGATGGGATATCCCTTTTGTGCAACAACTCTTCAAGGAAACTAGATAAGTTATAGAACTAGAACTCACAAAAAACTATAATTTAGAGTGTCATAAGGAACCCATAATTATGTTTAAGCGAAAAAGCATTATTTATGGCCCCACTTTAAGGAGTTTGTTGACTGGCCGACGGTTTCCAATGGGCATTTGCATAATTGCGCTCGACCCGCGTTTAATTCGCGGTCTAACGAGGTGAGAACAGGACAAACGAGCCGTCACGCCAGAGGGTCCTGCAAAGGGTCCTGCTGAAAGGCGTGACCAATGGCCAGGACTCCAGGACTTATCCTCATCGGGGATCTAAACGCCCCTGGACATGCGAGGTTGCAGTTTTCGTGGAGGGGGTGTGAACCTGCCAGGTAGAGTCACTCAATGTTGCATTTTGGGATTGCTGTTCAAAGGATTTCTTTCCTTCTTTTCCCGTTGATTTTCCTGGTCCTGGGAAAATGATAAATGAAAAACATAGGGCACAAAGCCTAGGGAAACCAGACAAAACGCACTTGAGCAGCTGGACTGCTAAAATGCCGAGGAAGGACTTCGAGTAAATGACGAAATGGTTTTCCAGAGGGGACAAGACATGCACGGCCTGTTGGCCATTGAGGTGCAGCCGAGCAGTTGGAAATGTGCTGCTGAAAACCTGGAAAAGCCAAACAGGCGACTGGGAAAATGGACCTGACCTTAGAGTTTAATGGCTTTATTTGTGTGTTTGTTCAGGCCAGTCGAAAAACCCGACAGATTGGAAGACAGTTTTCTGTATTCTGCAGAAGGTGAACCTACTTTTCGGTAGCAAAAGGTTTGTTGAGCCCAAAAGTATGCTTTGATTCGTGAATAACCAACTTCGAATTCGAAATCTTTAAATTGTGACTACAAAACTTGCAAGCAATAAGCACAGTATCAGCTCAAAGCGATCTGCATTAAAAGAAGGTGTTTGTAAAACAAATGTTTCCTTAAATTAAATGTTTAACATACTTAAAAAACAAAGTAAAATAGTTTTGGCAATTGACGATACCTTGGAATGAAATAATTTATGGTTGCATTACATAGATGGAATGTGTAAAAACATAATATAAAGTTATATCCTCACGATTTAAGTTTCTTAAAACTACCTTAAAGCACTAACCCTAACTTAAAGCCAAACTGTTCTCAGCAATGTCTTACGATTTGGAGTGGTTTGTGTCCCGAATATCGAATACCGACTACCGACTACCGAATATCGAATTTCGAACTCACCTTTAGCGCGCAGAAGATGCAGTCTTGGCCACCGCATACGTGCTGATTGAGGCCGCGAAACGATCGTCGAAAGGCGTCCAAGTGCCACAAGACCTGCAAAGCGAAAGAAAAGAGAACGGCGGCATTACTAACTTGGTTCGCAGGCAAGAGAGTCGGGTTTTGGGGCTGCAAGGGGGTTGGGGAGGGGGGTTATCTCCACGAAATCTCTGTGTGTATAACAAAAGAGAGGCCCAAACCGGTTGAGGCGACGCCATCTTGGCGACGATGCCTTGTGGCTTGTGCCTTGTGTGTGTGCTTAGACAAAGGCCCAAAAGACTCAAGACTCAAGAGAGGAGTTGTTGCCCAAAAGTCGCGCCACAAAGCGCTGGCCAAAACCAGTTTCGGTCTCGGCCACAGCCACAAAACT